TGTGTGCAGAGGCACAGCACACAGGAGAGTGGGGCGCCCAGTGTAGCCCCAGGTACAGGGACCATCCTTCAAAATGCCAACCCCCCCCCCGCTTGGTTCTTCTTAGATTCACTGTCCAACATATGTTCCCCCTTGACAGGCTGAAGTACCAGGGTCTCTGTCCTCCAGTGCCCAGGTCTCAAGGTGACTTTGACCCAGGGGCCAAGTTCCACATTCCTTCAAGTGTGCCTTACATCAGGTAACAGGAGAGGGAGCAGGGTGGGGTACAAGGAGCAGTGCCCGCAGCTTCATGTGTAACTGCGGTCGCTGCCCTGTCTGCGGGCTACACCAGCAGGGGAGGTGGCCACATGACTGTGCCCGGGCCACTCTCCTGCTACCAAGGCTGAGGGCTGTTTCTTTTACAACAGTTAAAAACAGAAACTCCTGTAATCCTAGCTCTCTGGGTGCCGAGCGGGGGACATTGCTCTGAGGTTCGGGTAGTTCCGAAACCCGCATCTGAGCAAGCTGAAGACCGCGTCTTATCATATAAATAAGAAAAACTAATGGCCACTAATATATATAGAAAATAGCGTTGGTATGTGTGTGCATCGTAGTCGCCAGTACTTGGACGGCTGAGACAGGAGTCGCTTGGAGCCAGGAGATGAGGTTGGCTTGGTTTGCTATGTGGTGTTTATTATGTTAGTTGAGCGTCTAATGTGTATAGTTAGTGCTAATAGAGATGTGTGTATTTTTGAAATTAACGTTAACATTCTCAAAAACCTCTCCAGACTTGAAGAGGTTGCTCCAGGCTTGACTGGCAGATTTCTATCAGGGAATTCCTGCTGCTTTGGATAAGATAATTTGGGTGATTTCTATCAGGGAATTCCTGCTGCTTCGGATAAGATAAATCTGGGCTTCCCTGCCCAGACCACCCTGCCAGATCCGTGTGACCCATTTAGCAACACCCAGCCTCTACTTGCATGTACCCCAGGGATGGAGATCTCACTGCCTCAAAAGCAGCATGCCAAATCCTTCCAGGGTTCTGCCCCAACCCCCTCACTGCAGTTCCTCCCTGGAGTTCCCCAGAGCAGCCCTCCTGAGATGTGGGGGCAGCCTGGCAGGTGGGAGACGTCCACATACACACCTGGGCAGGGGCTTCACCAACTCTGAAAGCCAGGGTGGCTCGCCCTGACACCCTGACTACAGTGGGGAGGGGTGGCCCAGCTCTGCTGTGCCCCATGTGACTGTCACGGGCAGAAGGGCTGGGGCTCAATGGCATAAGCCCCTCAACTAGCCCCACCCATGCCATGCCCTCCCTCTGCTGCAGGTACTTTGTCAGCTTCATAATCCAGTTCCAGTTCCACGAGGCGCTGTGCCAGGCAGCTGGCCACCAGGGCCCCCTGCACAAGTGTGACATCTACCAGTCCAAGGCGGCGGGCCAGCGCCTGGCGTGAGTCCCCTGTGGCCCTCCTTTGGCTGTTTGCACACTCTGGCCTGCTCCCTTTGGCCTTGAGGAGCTCTCTGGGCCTCTTCTGGGAACACCTGCCATTTGGGGCGCCTCCAGCTGGAGCCTGTGCCAGGCGAGCCGAGCCATCTCTGCAGGGAACCAGAGCCCTCGGGCCCATCTCTCCTCCCCAGCCCTGCACCCACACTGGCCCAGGCCCTCCCAATCTCCAGGGGAAGATTAGGCTGGGAGAGGGGTATGGAGGGTGCGTATTAGACTAGGGCAAGAGGGGCCATGTCTTTCTGACTCAGTTTCCCTTTCTCTGTTGCTTTCCCCAGGGACACCATGAAGCTGGGCTTCAGTAAGCCGTGGCCAGAAGCCATGAAGCTGATCACGGGCCAGCCCAACATGTCTGCCTCCGCCATGTTGAACTACTTCAAGCCGCTGCTGGACTGGCTCATCACTGAGAACGGGCGGCACGGGGAGAAGCTGGGCTGGCCGCAGTACAACTGGACGCCAGACTCCGGTACCTCCACCCTCCCCACCTTCAGCCCCAGGCCCAGCCCCCAGGGCTTGCACAAGGCCGAGCCCCCGCCCCAGCCCAGGCAGACTCGAGTGTAACCTCAGAGGCAGCACAGGGAAGCCAGGCCACAGGACCCACCCGCCCCCGCCCTGCCCACCGCCCTGTCTCCTTGCTTCCCCGCCCAGCTCGCGCAGAAGGCACTCAGCCAAACGCCGGCCGCGTCAACTTCCTGGGCCTGAACCTGGACGAGCAGCAGGCCCGTGTGGGCCAGTGGGTGCTGCTCTTCCTGGGCGTCGCCCTGCTGGTGGCCACCTTGGGCCTCACCCAGCGGCTCTTCAGCATCCGCCAACACAGCCTCCACCGGCCCCACCGCAGGCCCCAGTTTGGCTCCGAGGTGGAGCTGAGACACTCCTGAGATGGTCGGACTGGGCCAGCCAGGGAGCCTCCAGCCAAAGACTGGGACGGGCACATGGGCAGTGGGCCGAGGGTGCACCCAGCCCACCCTCCTCCCGCCCCATCCTCCTTCCCACTCTGTCCTTCAGACCACTAGCCCCCCAGCTCCTGCCCCCCTTTCTCCAGGCACACACAGGAGTGTCTCAGCACCACCCCCAGGTCTCTCTGTGAATACAATTAAAGGTCCTGCCCTACCCATCTGAGTCTGTGTCCCTCAAGGGGAAGCCAGGGACAGGGACAGGCTGCTCTCCTGCTTTCTGGCAGTCAAGTGGGTTCCTTTACTGGATTTCTTTTCCCATTCTCCTCCAAGAAGAGTCTCAGAGAACCCCAGAGCTCTGGCCCAGCTCCACCCAGCCCCACCCAGCCCCACACCTGCCTTCTCTGCAGCCCAGGCAGCTGCCCAGTGTCCTGCCACAGTGGGCAGCCCCTGCCCGGCCTGGGCACAGACCCAGGAGGACTCTGGGAAGCCAAGGGGGAACAGACATCCCAGGCCTCTGGCTTCCCGTGTCATGTGGTATGGAGCCTTGCCCTGCCTCAGGCCCTGCCCGATCCCCCCCAGAGAAAGCTCCTGGTTGTCGTTGGCTGCCTGGGGAGAGGAGTACCTGGATGGGCCTGCTTCATGGAGGGTGCAGACCTGGCCGAGTGGTCAGGTGGCTCCTGCCAGCACCCACTCCATGCCCACTGGGCCAGGTCTGAATGCCCCACTCACCTGCATGGGCAGCCTTGGTTCCGAGACAGAGCCGTGCGAGCACTGCCCAGTGGAGAAGGTCCCCAAATGCAGGAGCGTGGTGGTAGCCAGCACCTGCACGGGGATCAACTGCCAGCGGCCACCCTGCCCACCTCCCCAGCACACAGCCTCGCTCCCCCTGGTTTGGGGGGAGTATCATTTTGAGGGACATTTTTATAACTGTTATGTACATGTTTATGTAGAAAATTTGAAAAATACAAAAAAAAACTATAAAGAAAATAAAAGCCCTTTATATCAACATCAAGAGATAAGCACTGTTGACATTTTGGTGTGTATCTTTCCAGCCTTTTTTCCTCAGCACGTATGTATTTTAAATGGGATCCCATTGTATTTACAGTTGTATATTCTTTTTTCAGTTAACATGACTAGATCTATTTTCCAGATCTTTAAATGCCAAACCTAGAACCTGGTCCAGTGGAAGTTGGTCAGTTTTCTGGGGCCAGAGGCTCCCCTGCCAGCCCCGCCTGTCCATCAGGATCTCAGCCCTGAGCCTGGCTGATGCCTTCACCCTACCCGGGTCCATCCCCTAGTACCTGCCCCCAAGTAGCTTTAGTCCGTGGTTTGCCCCCCCAGTCTCTAGCTGCCATGCATGTCTGCATCTGTGCGTGTGTCTCTGTGTGTGTTGCACACAGCCTGTGTTGTTCAGGTCTATTCAACATTCCTGGACAGGATGTGGAATTGAGGTATTTGGGGTATGCAAGAGGGTGGATGTTTATGATTACATAGAACAATGGAATTTATAAACATATCCTCTAAATAGTTCCAGCCTTCTACCACTGAAGATTTCTTTAATTACCAACCCCCCCCCCCAGCCTGTTTGGAAAACTCTTTGTCTGCCAGACAAAGGTCATTGTCACATAACCCCCTTTCCTACTTTTTATGAACCTCACAGGTTTGTGCTGTCTGTCAGGGTTTGTGGGCAGTGTGAGGTCACCAGCATTCAGCACCCAAAGGACGGGGCTGCAGACTAAGGGCAAAGAAGCTCCACTTTGTAGCCGGCCCAGCCAGCCTTATCATTGTTCAGACTCCTGTGTCTGCCTCCTTGGGTGGCTACGGAGAGGCTGGGGCTACCTGGATGGTGGCACAGGAAGACAAAGTGGTGATAGCAGGAAGAGGGGCCAACCTGGCACTTTCTGCCAGTGGTCCTGAAGTCTGAGTCCTTCTCTGGGCTGTACCTGCCAATGCCACTTTTTGGTGACCAGCTCTTACCTCCACTGGCCACAGGTGGTGTGGTTGCCAGAGGAGACATTCTCTGATCTCCCTACCCCCTCCCCAGCCCCCATTTTCCTGCATCCGCCAGCCCTGGCTTTAACATGGGTGAATCAAGTGGCTTTGCAAGAGGCCTGAGGCCAGTCCCGCCTCTGCACTGCCTACCTGTGTGACTTTGAGCAATGTACTTCCTTTTCAGAGCCCGCATTTTCACACCTGTGAAATGGTTCTTATAAACCCTCTCATGATTGCTGCAAAGATTAAATGAGACAATGTAGAAAGTCCTAGTACACAGCTTCCTCTCTTTACATTGGCTACATCATCTCCTGAGAACCTTCCAACCTGCCTCACGCCTCAAACATCCCCAAGTCGCAGAAGAGAGAGATGACGGTCAAGCTGAGATTGTCGTCCTCACTGGAGAGAGGGAGAAAGAAAACCAGGGTGACAGGATTGAAAACGCCATGTCTCCCACCTGCCTTCCAGGAACTTTCTCACCATCCCTCCCTGCACCTCCCGCTGTTTTCTTTCCGGGAGAACCCCGAGCTTTCTTGCTTCAGTTCTAGAAACACTCAGCCATCGCCTCTTCCTCCTCCCTAGTCTGTTTTTGTGGGACTGCCGTTAGGCTCTGCTCGGAGCTTTCTGTTTGGTCCTCCGTGTCTCCTAATTCTTGCTCTCAGCTCCCGACTCATTTTCTGTCCTTGCACCCGACCATTTCCCCAGCTGCGCCCTCTCGTGCCCAGTTCTGCTCCTCGGCGACCGCTCAGCCTGGCCGCTGGAGCGTCTCGTTGTTCCTGTCTCATCACCGTATGTTTCATTTTAGCATCTCTGTTTCTTTCAAACTTCCTGTGTTTTCACAAAAACCTATTTTTGCCTCGCAGATTTTGTTCCTTAATAACTTTAAAAACCTATTTTTTAATTGTTATCTAAAATATACATAACATAAATTTACCATTTTAATCATTTTTAAGTGCATAATTCAGTGGCATTAAGTACATTCACATTGTCGTGCAGTGATCACCTCCATCCATCTCCAGAGCTTTGTCATCTTCGCAAACTGAAACTGTGTCCATTAAGCAGTGACTCCACATTCTCTTCCTCCCCAACCCCCACCAACCACCGGCCCGCTGTCTCTATGAATGTGGCTACTGTAGGAACCCCACGTAGGTGGGATCATACAGCGTTTGTCCTTTTGTGTCTGGCTTGTGTCACTTAGCATCATGTTTTTAAGGTTCATCCACACTGTAGCATGTGTCAGAATGTCCTTCCTTTTTAAGGCAGAGTAAGAATCCATTGTATGTATATACCACATTTTGTTCATCCATGAATATTTGAGTTTTCACCTTTCAGCTATTGTGAATGGTGCTACTGTGAACTGTAAAAATAAGTGAGTCAAAATCAAAGCTCTTGGGATTTACACCTGTAATCCCAGCACTTTGGGAGGCCCGGGTGGGAAGATTGCTTGAGGCCAGGAGCTTGAAACCAGCTTGGAAAACATAATGAGAACCTGTCTCTAAAAAAAAACTTTTTTTATTAAAAAATTGGCTGAATGTGGTGGCGTGTGCCTAAAGTCCCACCTACTTGGGAGGCTAAGGTGGGGAGCATTCCCAGGAGTTTGAGGTTACAGTGAGCTATGATGACAACACTGAGCTACAGCCTGGGCAACGGAGCAAGACCCTATTTCTAAAAAAAAAAGATCTTAAGTTATTGGAACTTTAAATTAGTTTAAGCCTTGAAGGAATATGATTCTGAGACCTGAGTCAATAACAAGCAGCAGTAACCTGGGCAGCTGTAACCTTTGTTTCCCTAATTATGGATTAGCCGTTTTTCCTTTACCTACATTGTTCTGTAAAATGTTGTAAAAGACTAGGGGGCACCAGAGAAGACCCCTTCCCTCTTTATGGCTGATCTTCATTATAGATTAATTTTCCCTTTCTTCTCTTACACAGAGACCTCAGGACTGTCATATTGTCTAAGATGGAATGTGTTAAATATACTCTTTAAATTGGAAAAAGAAAACAAATAAGCTGTAACTAATCAAAGTGCTGGAACTCATAAACCAACTTTGTATGGGAAATGTAATTCTGCTGATTTCTTTGTTTTCTACCCGCATAAAAGTGAGACCTTTACTTTTCAGCTTCAGAGCAGTGACCCCATTTCTTTGGAGCCTGTGTTTCCCAGATGGCATCTGAGCTTTGCACTTGCTTGAACTCTTTCAAACTGGATTCGTGTGCAGAAAGCCCCTCAGCTGGTCCCTAGCCCAGGAAAGCGCTCAGAGAGGGTTGATTACTATTATTGTCCCTCCTGGCACTGGACTTTCTCTTATATTTAGTAAACTGAACCTATGAGCCACCCTCAGCTGGAACAGCCTTCTGCAGGGCCCCATGCACACACCTGATTCTAGGGCTCCCAGCGTGGTGGAAGTGTCACTTCCACCATGATAAGCTGTCCCCACGCAGGCACCAAGGCTGCAGTTCTTTGCATGGATGCACTCTGACCTCCCATGAGGCCACAGGGCTTCGGCCACCACTCACTGCTGCAGGTGCCCTCGTCCTCTCCAGCATCTGAAGAGTCTCTTTTCTTGCTTTGCAGCTAAGCTCTGCATTTTGAATTTTTTTAAATACTATGTTTTATCAAGCATGTCTATATGCTTGAAGCAGGAGGAGGGACTTCTCAGTGAGCTCAGTTCAGTTTTTCTTTCTTTCTTCATATTTCAAATATATTTTGGCCATAATAGATCACATTCAGAGGGTTAGTTTCTCTAGTTGTGGTGTGAGCCCATGTGCAGGGGCAGAGCCTGTGTGAAGATGTGAGCAAGGCTGGGCGGAGGGCGACCAAAAGGGACACAGGGCGGAGGGAGTGTGGGTGTGGAGGGAAGTGAGTCTGAGGAGCAAGCTCAAGGTGGGGCAGATACAGTGTCAGTTGCCACCACCTGGCAGAGAGCTGGAGCCCTGCCAGCTTGTGCTCCGACCAGGCTCAGGCACTCACGGATATGCACCCTGGACAGAAGGTGCCAACCACACTGCTGCACACCCCACCCGGCCCTGCCTTGTGTGTCCTCCTGACTGCAAATTCACTGCACCAGGCTCTCCCTGGGGAAACAAGTGGCAGGAGGTTATGGGGGCAGGGAGTCTGCAAGCCCTGAGGATGATCAAGAGAACAAAAGGCCACAAATGTGAATGTAAGAGGTCAAGTCAGAAGAACCTGGAGAGACAACTGGGCTCCCAGAGTCTGGAGGCCCAGAGATACCATGTCCATCTCTCTGCTCATCCATCCATCCATCCATCCATCATCCCATCACTTGCTCAGAGGTGGTCCCAGCCTGTGGAGGGGGGGGTCTCATCAATCCCTGGCCAAGACCCAAGGGCAGCTTCAACCCTCAGGAGAAGTGACCAAGCAGAATAGAACAAGTTCTGGCCTAGAACTCAAGAGCCCTGGGTCCTCCTTGTGGCTCTGCTGCGAGCTAGCTGTGTGAACAGATCGTGTGGCTCAACCATTCTGGACCTCAGTCTCCTCACCTGTAAAACGGGGACAGCTGGACCAGAAGGTGGGTGGGGGCTCTCCAGTGCAAACATTCCACAGCTGACCCTTTGGCCCCTGATGTCACAATACAGAGCTGGCTTGTGATTGGTCCATAGCCTCGCCCTGCTCTGCTGTTCTCTTGGTCATGGGAACAAGATGGACACCTGGACCTTCCCTGCTTATGCTCCTCTGTTATGGGCAGCTCTTGCCATGGCTCAGGGTCAAGAGTGATCACAGCACAGGTTGGCTGGGACCCGAAGGAGCATGGGACCAGACAAGGGGCTGGGCAGGGCAGGCCCCTCCCAGGACAACGCGGTGCCCATCTCCTTCCCTGCAGGTGACTTCTACAATGAGACCGAAGCAAGGATATTCCTTCAGCTTTATGACCAAACAGCCCAGGTTGTGATGAACCAGTTCATGGAGGCTACTTGGAACTATGTCACCAACATCACCACGAAAAATCAGGAGGAGATGGTGTGGTACCACCTCCACTCAGCCCCTTCCTCCTTGCTCTTCTCAGGGGTCTTAGGAGTATGGGGGACCACACCTCCTGCCCGCGTCCAGAGCTCCGGGAAAGAGGGAAGCCCCAAACTACACGTCAAGGCAGGCTGCAGGCTCCAGGCCTCTTGCTGGCCCTAAACTTTCTCTGGGCAAGAATCTCTTGCTTCTTTTCTCTTGTGAATTTCACCTCCTTGCTTTTAAGGACCAGGCTTCCTCCCTCTCCCTCTTAGCAAATCTTCAATGATCCTGGCTCCTTGGCGTGGGCTTAGGGAGTGAGTTGGAGCACCACGGCCCTGGAGTTCAATGTGGAAAACTTACCCTTCCCCCGGCCTCCATGACAAATACAGTGACCCTCTTTCCAGCTGCACAAGGACGTGGAGAGATCCAAGTTCATGGTGTACTTTGGCACCCGGGCCCGCCTGTTTAAGATTGCCCAGATCGAGGACCCGGCCGTGAAGCGCATGCTGAGTAAGCTGCAGGACATAGGCAAGGCGGCCTTGCCCAAGGACGAGCTCCGGGAGGTGATGGACGGAGCCCCCCGGGAGGTGATGGACGGAGCCCCCTGGCCTCCAGGCACTCGTTCCCCCGCCCCAGAGGTGGGTGGGTCGGGCCTGGTAGGGGAGCCAGAGTGTCTGGGGCAGGAAGGAGGCTGGAGGAGGGGCAGGACCAGAACTTCCTCTGGGGGAGGCGGGTGGAGGAGGGTTGCTTCAGCCAAGCCCACCTCTCTTGGCTGGTGGGGCTAGCGCTGTGGGTGGGCCAAGGGCATGGGCCTGCCCTGGGTGACACCTGCCCCCCCAGTACAACAAGCTTCTGGCCTACATGGAGACAACGTACAGTATGGCCCAGGTGTGCCTGAATGAGGGGCCCTGCCTGCCTCTGGAGCCTGGTGAGCACCCAAGCCCTGCCCCCCAGCTGCGAAGTGTCCAGCACCGGGCCCTCCCATGGGCCTCCCAACCTCCAACGGCACTCTCTTGCCAGGGGGCACCCAGGGCGGGTGAGGGCAGAGGCAGGTGGGAGTGGGTCCTACACGGCTCCTTTTCTGGGGACAGACCTCGAAGAAGTCATGGCCACCTCCAGGGACAGGAAGGAGCTGGTGTGGGCCTGGCAGGGCTGGCGGGATGCCGTGGGCCGCGAGATCCGCACCACCTTTGAGCAATACGTGGAGCTCAGCAACAAGGCAGCGCAGCTCAATGGTGAGTGGATGGGACCCACGCCGGTCTCGGGGCAATGCCAAGGAAGGGGCAAAACTGAGTCTGCGGAAGCAAGGGTGGTCATAGGGCCCAGGGACAGCAACCGTGAGCCCTGCAGCTGGGCTCCCCAGATGCTGATAGAGCACCTACTGTGTGCTGGGTGCTGGGGTGCTCTGAAGACTCGTAGAGGAAAGGACAGATGGGCGCCCGCCCGCTGGGCCTGCAGTCCCGTGGCACGACAGGCCACACTCAGGTAAACCCGTGTCTCTGACTACCGCTGGGGCAATCCCAAGTAGGAAGCTGCCGCTGCGAGAGAAAGAGGTCATGGACAGCCCCTCTGCCACGTGTCCAAGGTCTGAAAGGGGGCAAGAGTCAGGCGGGAGACACAAGAGCACCCTAAGGCAAAAGCTCCGCAGGCAAGAGCACCAGGGCTCTAGAAGGTCTGAAAGCAGTGGTGAGGCAGGCCCGTGGGTGAGGCAGGCTCCGTGGGCAGGGTGAGAGAGCACTGGGGCCTTGCAGGCCTGGTGAGCAGCTCGGATTATGCACTTAGCACGGCGCTTTTCCGTTCTGGTCTGATTCAGTACGGACAGTGGCCTTGGGAGGTACCCTCCCCATTTTGCAGATGCAGACCCCAGGGCCAGGGAGGCTTCCCTGGAAGGTGCCTGGGTCTCCTGCCTGCCAGGCCAGGGCTAACTGGTGAGGTGGTGAGCACCTAGGGAGACTTCCCTCCTGCCCTAGGTTACAAAGACATGGGGGCCTTGTGGCGCTCCGAGTATGAGTCTGACACCCTTGAGGAAGACCTGGAGCAGCTCTATGAGGAGCTGCGGCCGCTCTACCTGAACCTGCACGCCTACGTGCGCCGGGCCCTGCACCGCCACTACGGGCCCAACGTCATCGACCTGAGGGGGCCCATCCCCGCCCACCTCCTGGGTGAGGGCTCTGCTGTGGCAAAGGTGGGCGCCCAGTGCGGGGAGAGACTGTCTCTCGCCTCCTCTTAGCCCCCCATCTCCCCTTCCAGGGAACATGTGGGCCCAGTCCTGGGTCAACATCTTAGACCTGGTCCTGCCCTTCCCGAAGAAGACCCCCGAGGACATCACGAAGATCATGAAAGGCCAGGTTGGTGCTTGGCCTTCGTCTGCCCTGCCCCTTGGCTCGTCTGGGCAAGCAGGGCAGCACCCCACGCACCCCTCCCCCACAGCACTGGAGGCCAGAGAAAATGTATCAAGAGGCTGAAAAATTCTTCACTTCCTTGGGGCTGCTGCCCGCCCCACCCGATTTCTGGAGAAACTCGATGCTGGAGAGGCCAACAGATGGGCGGGAAGTGGAGTGCCAAGCCTCTGCCTGGAACTTCTACAAAGGCGACGACTTCAGGTGCTCAGGCGGCACCACACTCCCGGCCCTCTCCTGCTCTCCCCATGTCTGCCTGTCTTAGGAGGTGTGGGCAAGGAGTGGGCAGGGGCAGCAGGGCAGGGGAGAGGGAATGGGTCCGGAGCACAGAAGGAGAGGCAGGTGTGAGCACAAAGGCTTGGTCCCTGGTTGGATATGGGGCCCACAGTGAGAAGTGACAATAGCCCGGGCCGTTGGTCTCTGGCCGGACCACTCCACCTGCCCTCCCTGGGGCACCCCCATGCTCCTTGACTCCTGCCCTTTGCCCCCAGGATAAAGAAGTGCACCGAGGTGACCATAGAAGACCTGCTCTCCATCTTCCACCAGATGGGCCACATCCAGTACTTCCTGCAGTATAAGAACCTCTCTGTCATCTTCCGCGCAGGAGCCAACCCAGCCTTTGAAGAGGCCGTGGGGTCGGTGATCACCCTCTCGGCCTCCTCCCACAAGCACCTGCTCAACAGAGGCCTGCTCAGCCTCCAGCACCAGGACGCAGGTGACGGGGACCGAGAGCCCAGTGGGAGGACAGCCCCAGCTGAGGCTGCAGCTGGGGGCTGCAGCTGGGGGGTGGGGGCGGGGAGGGACCCTGCTCTTGGGCAAGGCTGCAGGGGAGGAGAGCCCAGGAGCCGCCTCCTGACTGCCCCGCCCTCCCCAGAGGAGGAGGTCAACTTCCTGATGAGCATCGCCCTGGAGAAGATTGCCTTCATCCCCTTCAGCTACATCATGGATCTGTTTCGCTGGAAGGTCTTCGACGGCACCATCCACAAGGATCTCTACAACCAGGAGTGGTGGAACCTAAGGTGGGCCGGCCGGCTGCTCTGGGCTCTGGCTCCCGTCACACACCCTGAGAGCAGAGTGGGGCGGGCAGTACTGGTGACCTGGGGGGCTGGGGAGGCCCCAGGCAGTGGGCTGTTTGCCGCCACCAGACAAAAGCATCCATGATGTAGAGGATAGGGCGGGCACAGGCAACCGTGAGGCCGCGTGAGTCCGGCGCCAGCCCTGAGCGGGTCTCTTAACCTCTCTGGGCTGCAGTCTCCTCACCTGTGAAAAACAGCCCCTGGCTGTGGCCCCGCCCGCTCCCTGGGTGGCTGGGGAGCTCCCATGATGGCTGCCACGGGGCTTCTCTACGCACAGAACCCTGAGCCCTCCTGCACCTCCCTCCCGTGCGACCCCTGGCCACTGATTAGATACTAAATGCCAGTGACCAGGGCTTCTCTGCATCCACCAGGCACCAGACTGACCAGTTCAAGTCTGCTGGTCACAGTGTGGTTTGGGGCCACCACGTGTGGCCTGCTGGCTTGCACCAGGCCCTTATGTCTATTTGACCTTTTACAACCACCTTGTGTCATGGTCATTCAAGATGCTCCTCTCACAGAAGAAGAAGCCAAAGCTCAGAGAGGTTCCAAAACCAGCCCGAGGCCACACGGCAGCCCAGCGGGTAGCAGAGCTGAGCACACCTCCCTTTGTCTTCTCACCTCCCACCCCCTGACTTCAGGACGGGTCTCGCTGGTGGGGTTGGCACAGTCTTGACCTTGTGCCCCTCCAAGGGACCCCCCTTCCCCACTGGCCACCTGAGGCACCTGCAGGGACCTCTGCCAGCCATGGCCACCCCCCAGCTGACAGCGCCCGGGGCTGAGTGAGAGGGATGACGACTTCCTAGGCCCTGAACAGGCCCTGTCAACCAAGAGAGGAAGATCCTGACACTGTAGAGCCCAGAGGATGGTTCGGAGGCTCCGGTGAGCCGGCGATAAAACCACGAACCTTTTCATAGACTTTGTCTTACTCCAAAGATTTTATAGACAACATGTTACAACAAGGCTCAGCAACAATCAGCACTAGCTCTGTGTCCTGCAGCCAGCTCTGTGTCCCCAAACCTTGCTTTCCTCATCTGCAAAACAGGATTAACAGTAGTCCTAACCCAAAGGGATGTCACTGTGTTTTCTTTTTAGCTTTTGTTTTTCTTTTGGAGACAGAGTCTCTCTCTGTCTTCCTGGCTAGAGAGCAGTGGTGTCGTCCTAGCTCCTGGCAACCTCCAATTCCTGGGCTGAAGTGATCCTCCTGTTTCAGCCTCCCAAGTAGCTGGGACTACAGGCATGTGCCACCATGCCCAGCTAGGTTTTTTTCTATTTTTAGTAGAGACGGGGTCTTGCTCTTGCTCAGACTGGTCCTGAACTCCTGAACTTAAGCGTTCCTCCCACCTCAGCTTCCCAGAGAGCCAGGATTACAGGCATGAGCCACCGCACCCAGCAAGCACTTCTTACTTGATTTATTGGTCAACAATCTGTCCCCACCATTAGCATGCACGCAAGGACCTTTCCTGTTCCCTCCCGTCCCTTGGCAGAGCCAGGGTGCTGCTGAGTGTGTGAGTCCATGGGAGGGGCTCGGTGAGGTTCCTAGCACTGAGCATGTGCTCAGTCGGTGTTAACCGCTATCATTTTATTCTGATTCCCAGCCCCATGTGTTTTCATTTATGGAATCAATAAAAATGCCTTAAGTTGTCCTCCGCATGCCAGGTCCGGCTTTGATGGACATGCAAGCGCTTCAAAAAGGAAAAGGCTCTGGGAGCCCGCCAGGCACACTGACAAGCCCCCTCTTTCCCCTGCCAGGTTGAGGTACCAGGGCCTCTGCCCCCCCATTCCTCGCTCAGAGGAGGACTTTGATCCAGGTGCCAAGTTCCACATTTCCGCCAGTGTGCCCTACATACGGTAAAGGTCTGGGCCCTGTGGGCAGAGCCAGTTCTGGGCGTTGGGAGTTGGGGGACACAGGAGCTGGGCCAAGAATTCCCAGGAGGGCCCTAGGTTCACACATCACCTGCATGCCTGCCACCTCCTCCTGTCGGGCTGCACAGCCTCCTAAGGCCCTTGCCCTGGAATCCTTTGAGCTTTTACGTTAAATCCTGTGCAGGGGGCAAGAGCTGGTGGGACTGTTTCAGACCCAGTGTTCTAGGACCAGCTCAAGGCAGGGTCTTGCCCCGGGAGCCTCCTCCACCCAGGCTGTGACTCCTGTCATGGGCCCTCGTGGCCACAGCATATCACAGCTGCCTGGTCCTACGTGGCTCTGGGCTTCCTGCCCCTGGTCTCTGCCCTCCAGCCTGCCCCTCATGCTTCTCTCCCCAGGTACTTCCTCAGCCTAGTGCTCCAGTTCCAGTTCCACGAAGCGCTGTGCACAGCCTCCGGCCACACGGGCCCACTGCACCGGTGTGACATCTATAACTCCAAGATAGCTGGGCAACTCCTGGGGTGAGTGCCCTCCTCCCTCATTTGTCCTCAGCCCCACCCCACCCCTGCCATCTTCCTTTTGGGAAACCTGCTCCAGGCTCCTTCTCCTCACCTGGCCACCCTGGGTGCCCTGAGCATGTCTTCACTGCACTTACATTCCAGTGGGAGTTCTTCCTCATGTCAGACTGTAGTCTCTCCTACATTAATTGAAGCCCATTTGCTCTTCTGTAGTCCCTGTAGTCAGAGACACTGTTTAGCCCCTCCTGCTAATGCACACGCATGCACACGCACACTTACATATCCCAGTAAATCAAACTGTCCCAGAGGGGAAGCCAGCACTGGAGTTCTGCCTCAGCCTTCAGTCTTCCATCTGAACCCCCTTATTCTTTCCTCTCAGCTGTGTTTGATGCTCCCTTGGGTGCATGCTGGTTCCCCCACTGCCTCTTGGAGGCACCATGACCTGGTTCCCAGACTGCTTTCACACCAGCCTCGTGGCATGCATCTGGTCCAACTGTGGTCCACTTTGACCCTTCAGTCTTTTTTTCCCACACATGGTATTCAGGCCACCCTTTCCATGCCTACCCCTCTGTCGCTGTGGTTTTTGGTCCTGAAGCAAATCTGGAGGGGATGAGGGACCTGAGCTGAAAATACGAAGCATTTACTATTAATACTACAGGCTGGGCTCCCCGATGAGCACTCCTACCGTGTTTCATGTTTAGTGCTTAACTTTACCAAATGGATATTATCATTCAGTTTTTACAAATGATGAAACTGAAGCTAGGAGAGTTGACATGATTGTGTGTCATTTATCTATCAAGAAGCACAGTCATGCTTTGAACCCAGAACTGACCCTAGAACACATTATCTTTCACCTTACTGCCTCCGTCAAAGAATAGAGACCTTAGTGAGATTAGATCGAGGTCGATTGGTTCCAAGATCAGCGCTCCAACCATAGAGATGTGGAGCCCACCTGCTGACTTGGTCTTTTCCCTGTTGCATTTCAACTGATTTCAATAGGTCCATTTCCCTAATTGGTCAAGGTCATTTTGAGTTTTATTCCTGTCCCCCAGAGGATTAACACTGCCACATCATTTAGTATCCTTTGCAAATTTCATGAGCATATTTGTGATTGCACCATGCAGCTTGTCTGTGACCATCAGGCCAGATGGGATTGCAGGACTGATCCCCCAGGCTTTGCTGGTGGGGCGGGCTGCACCTTGCCTGACTATCGTCTCCCGAGCATATTTGCTCTTCCCTCCTTTCCCATCACAGGGCTTTATTCTAGTTGACTGCCTGGGTTTGAGCTTTTCTGAATGTGTTGAACATAACGGCACCTCTCTGCTCTCTGCGTTCATATTTCTGGCTGCCTTTCATTTATTCATTCAGCAAACATTTACTTGTGCCCATGGGGACCAGCTGCCCTGTGTCCAGCAGGGGGAAATGGACCGCAGGATAAATAATTCCATAATACAAGAAAAGAGCCAGAGCAATACGAAAGGGCTTTGGTGAATGCAGAGTTAGGAGGTCATACGAGGGGACAAGGAGGAGTCTCTGTCTCCAAACGCAGGCATGCAAGAAATAGCAGGTGTCTGTTTTCCTCATCATATCAACTCACTTGTAACTTCTGCTTCATCCCACCTGACTGGTGGGACATTTGACTTCAGTCATTCTCATCATGTCCCGCCCCCACCCCACCCAGGGTGCACAAGGGTCCCAGGGTCTGATTTGGCACCAAAACATGTCATCTCTCCTTATGTGTCACTGTCCAGACCCCTGGTCAGGGAAGACCCTGAATTCCAGGCGTAGGACCTTGAACACCATTCAGGGCAGTGGACAGAGGAGAGGATTCTGAGAAAGGGCTATGTCACGAGCTTTGGGAAGGGACGAAACAGCAGCAGAGTAAAATATAGTCTGTGCAGGAGAGAGGGGAGGCGAGCACTTGCATGGGAAAAAGAAAAGGAGAAGATTCTTGGCTGCTCTTTTGCCTAATATTTCTTAAAAGTTGATTTTGCTACTTTTGACTCATCCTCCTAAATGCAATGGCTCTGAGCCAGGCTCCGGGCTGGTTCTTCTGGGAATGGAAGGGCGAACTGGACCTGGTCTGAGTTCCCACAGTCCCCCACCCTCCCTCAGCCAGCTGTGGTGGGCCTGACCTTGTCCCTGGGCATGTTGTTGTCACTCTGGACTGAGGGCTCCAGGCAGCACCCAGTTGCCACCTTTGCAGTTCTCTGGTCTCACGTGCTGCCCACATGGGCTATTGGCTGGGTTTTGGTCAAACATCTTGCCCTGCCCCGCCTGAAGGACCATTTCTAAACCAGCAGATTTTCAGCGGTCAAAGCTTTTCCCCCACTAGGGTCCTCCCATTACCCAGGAGCCAGTGTTTGATAAAATCCTCTTACCTAGAGTTAGTTGTGGTTTTTCTTCCCCAGTGGTTTCTGCCAAGGATCCTCTGACCGTTCGCTTCCCCACCTCATTCTTTCCCAATTGCTTATTAACTGTTGCGTATATGTCTTTGCAAGCTACAAAGCCTTCCTTCGTCATTATGTGACTTGATCCTCACCACAGTGAAGGGCAGGTATCATGGCACCCATTTTACTGTTGAGGAAACTGAGGCTGAGAGAGGTTAAGTTGTTTACCTGAGGCTATGCAGTCCCTAAGCAGCCCTGCTGAGTCGGTCTTAAACCTGGGCCCTGTTGGTCTATGACCTCTGGGCCTCCAGGCCTGGCCTCTCTCCTAGTCAGACAAGGGAACAACAGGTTGAGAAGAATCAACATCTGCCCACTGCTGCCTCCGCAGGGGACCCTGGGGTGGGTGGGGAGGCCTAGAGCCCTGGCTTCAGCACACCCCGTACTCCCACCGTGCGTGCATGGGGCCAAACCTGAGGCTCAACCACGTGCCCCCAAGTACCGTGTGTGCCTTGAGCCGACATTTGTGCAGGGCAGCTCCCACGAGCACTGTCTCTCTGATCCTCTCACAGCCCTCCATGTGAGACCAGAAAGGGCTGAAGAGCCGCCTCCACCTACTGACTAGGGCACCTCACAGGAAACAGCATCTCAAGACTTTATGCCTATTGAGTCCAGGAGAATAATAGTATTTGCAGTAGTACCAGTACTAGCAATAATAACAATCACACTATTGGCCAGGTGTGAGGGCTCGAGCCTGTAATCCCGGGACTTTGGGAGGCCAGGGCAGGAGGATTGCTTGAGCCTGTCACTTTGAAGTTGAAGTGAGCTATGATGACGCCACTGCACACTAGCCAGGGAAACAGAGCAAGACTCTGTCTCAAAAAAAAATAATAATCATCACAGTAGTACCAGTACTAGAAATAATAGTAATCACAGTAGTAACAGTACTAGGAATAATAATAACCAGCAGCAGCAGTTAACACCTATTGCCTGTGTACGACGCTCCAAGTACTGTGCTAATTTCATCATCACGATGTCCACATGAGGTAGGTACTGTTATTATCTCCATTTTACGGATATGGAAACTGAGACTCAGAAAGTTAAGTTGCTTGCCCAAGGTCTCATAGCTACTAAGTGATAGAGCCAAGATGTGAATCCAAATTAATCTCATTTCAAAGCTTGTGGTTGTATTCACTATGCTGAGCTCTGTGGGAAGATTCTGACCAGCCAAGCCCTGGGGCTGGGGTTGGGCATGCTGAGGGGCCCAGCAGCACTGGCTGAGGCCCCCACACAGCCTCACAGATGCACCCACACCCCCAGGGATGCCCTAAAGCTGGGCTCGAGCAAGCCCTGGCCAGAGGTCCTACAGAAGCTGACCGGGCAGTCCAGCGTGTCTACAAAGGCCCTCAAGACGTACTTCAAACCCCTGCTAAACTGGCTGGTGACTGAGAACGTGCAGCAAGGGGAGATCCTGGGCTGGCCAGACTTCAGCTGTTCCTTTGAAGGTTTGATAATCCCACCCTGGTCCCAGGTCTAGGCCAGACCCAGGCCCAGCCTACCCTGCCCTGAGCCAGTCCCTACCCCAACCCAACCTTAACCTCAGCTCATCAATGACCTGGCTTGAACCAGCACAGCACTGCTGCTGTGTGCCCCTGCCTGAACTAGGCCTGGTGTAGCTTCAACCAAGACCACAGCCCAGGCCCCAGCCCCTGGCTCAGCTGTTTCCTTGCACACTAACCAGCGAGGCTGCCAGGCTGGCATCTGAGCAGAGGGTCAGCATCATGCCTCCTGAGCCTTGCCTGGAGGTGTACATAGCCCTATCTGTGCCCATGTCCTTCTCTTCCTCCTGCTCCTCTTTCTCACTCTCCTTCCAGGGCCATGCCCTCACCTATGGCTTGGCAGGTAGATGCCTGAGGCTGAGGGGGAAGGCCAGTGGCAGTCAGATCCTCGCTGACAGGGGACCCCAGGGCTCCTCCTCTACTTTCACCTGCTCCATGAGACTCCCATGTCTTCCACAGAAAAAGACACAAACCAAGTGACATTCCTGAATCTGCGGCTGACCCCTGACCTGGCCAAGTTTGGTCAGTGGCTGCTGCTGATCCTGAGCTTTGTCCTGTTCATGGTAGCGCTGTGGCTGGCCTACAGGCTGTACTTAGTGGAAAAACAGTTACAAGCCCAAGACGACATGCTATTCAGCTCACTGTTCACTGCCTACTTCCTGGGCATGACCATGGAGCCCCAGCAGGTTGCCAAAAGACAGTGGCTACTGCTGGGCCTCTGCCTTGTCCTGATAGTGTGCTCAATCACCCTGACCATTTGGATTTTCACACATCGTGGCGAGAAGCCTCCATGGATGAGCACTGACTGGTGGAACTGGTACTAAACACCATTGAGACCGGTGAGTCTGGAGGGCAAAAAGGGGGAAGCCAAGCCAGAGAGGGTTGGGGGACAGAGGAGGGGACAGCCCACCTGCACAGTGCCCAGCTGTGATTGGGTGCAGCTGTGGCAGATCTGGGTACATGTGACATTGTAATTGTGCATTTGCAAATTTATGTACATGAAGCCATGTGTATAGGTGACTGACTCTGTGTGATTCCATATGTGCCCTGGGTTCCAAGCCAACCTCCTTCCCCCAGAGGTTCAGGAACTACGGTTGTAGTGACCCAGTGGCTGTGTCCCTCCAACCCAGCCCCTATCCCAAGTCATGCCCAGAACTGGTTCTTCACATAGCTTTGTTTTCTTCAAGAGCCCAGCTCTGGGGTTTGTCTGGGGTGTCAGTACCCAAGGAATCTCCACTATGGTTAGAAAAAAGGCCCTGCTTCAGTCCCCTTATAAAATGTACCCAAGTAGAACTAGACACTCCTTTATGAGTCAGTGGCACTCAGTGCACAAGCACCTTGTCGTGTACCAGCTAGCACACCTCTCTGCTGATCCTCTGGCTTTCCCTGTGGCAGGCTGCATAATTCAGCCCCAAAAAGCTCTTTGCTGGCTGACTGAGATGCACACAACCCCACAAACTGCCCCATGGCTCTCCCTGCCCCAGCCCAGGCCCTCCCAAATGGAGACAGTGGGTAACTGGGCACTGAGCCAGGCTTGATTAATGATTGACTTCTTTAATATTTAAACAAAGCTCATCTCCAGCCACTCTGCTCCGGAGATGGCCTTGTTCAACACACACACCTGCTGCCTGGCCCGTTGCCCTGGGGAGCGAGCATAGGGCAAACAGCACCTTTTCAGGCTCAGTGGGGGAGGGGGAGGACAGGAAGGAGAGCGCTGCGGGAGGATATTTGGGAAATTAGTGCTCCAGAAATAAGCCTGGGAAAAGAAGGGGAAGACCTCTGCCCCGACCCCTCCCAGCCCTTTCTCTCCAGCCTGGGTCTGCCTACCACAAGGATGCCATACCCAATATTTGGTGACTCACTGAGTCTGGATTGAAGTCCCATGGGCTCCTGGAGAGCCTGGAAGTCACTGGCTGTCAGAGGATAGGGGAGACTTGAGGGGAAGTGGTATTACAGCCAGTAACACAGAGAAGAGGCACGGAGGCTACAGTGGAGCTGGTGGGAGAGTAGCCAAAAGAGGGGACAAGCTCTCTCTAGATTCAGAATCTGAGCCCAGAATCAGCAGTTCAGGTGACAGAGGTACCAGACTGGGATCTCCGTGCACCCTACATCTGCCCAGGTTTCTAGTGGTCTTCCTGAGTTCCGGCTAAACCAAGCACTTTCTGCTGTAGCCCAGGCTCCACGGTACTCTCTTTTGATGTCTCTGTCATGCTTTTACTGCTGCAAGGTCCTTATTTGCCCCCATAAACTAGCTGTCAGCTCTATAAGAGCTGGACACACATCAGGAGTGTGCTCCTGTGTAACACCTGTAGTCAGCACGGCCCATAGCACACAATGGGGATTTGGCAAATGCTTGAATGAGTAAGTGAGTGGATGAGTGTCTCCCTGCCCAAGTGCCTTCTCAGAGCTCAGCACCCCATGTGCTGAGCCCCTGAGAAACAGCTCTGTTTTTCCTCCACAGCCAGCCTGCCCCCTCACATACAGGGGCAGCCAGGACACCTCTGCCCCCCAGGAGGCCACACTCGCAGCCCTCCCATTCCCCAGCCACAGTGGCCAACGAGGACCCCTCCTGCATTGTGGCTCTGCGTGGCAAAGGCACACCAAGCCCAGGACTCCAAGCCTCTCTCCAGGACTCCAGTGAAAACCTCATTGAGCCTCCCTGTCCATCCTCCCTCCCTCACCCACTATTGTAAAGTTTATTTCACCAGAATATTTCCTTCACGTCTAACTGCTTAAGAACTTGGTTGTTCATCAATTAAATCTAGATGTTCAAAATGACACCTGAGGGTCTTTATCAATTACCCCTTTTCTCCAAACTCACCTCTCCCAACCTCCAGCTCAGTCCCTCTGCACTGACATCACCCTCAGCCTTTGCCTAAGTGCATGAATGCCCCATTTGAATGCTTGCTCTCCAAGGCCTGGCCCAAAATTGGTCACTGAGCAAAAGCTCCAAGCCCACCGAGATGCTCAGTGAACAGTGGTCCCCTACTCCTCCTCCTCCTCTCCAAAAAGCCTCTTTCAATAAACCTCACCCCACCTTCATCTGCCTCTTCTAGTGTGTTCATTTTCAATCAGTACTCAGACACTTTTATCAGTGGTCACTTGCTAATAGGTGGTTTTAAATCTGTTCTCCTTCCAAGCTGTGCCTGTGTGGTAAGAGCTCCGAAGAAGGCACCTTATTGCATATTTCCTGTGCTTCATGTGTACTCCTACCCATCCTCCCAGGACCAGGCCCTGGCTGGGCTTGCCACCAGGAGTTCTGCATGGGCACTGGGTCTCAGCTGGAAGGCAATTGTTAAGGGCAGCCGAGAGGCCTAATGGTACCATTGCCAGGGCCAGGAGCAGCGGGCAGACCTAGGAGAGAGCCTTCAGCAAAAGACCACCTGAGCCCCCCAACAACCCCTTCTGCCGCCCCCCCCCCCCTGCCTGGGAGACGTCCCTGCGCTGGGAGGGGAGACTGCCTTTCGGTACCGGAAGGGGCTTCGAGAATTGCTGAGGCCATTGGTCACTGGGACATAAGCAAAAGCTCCTCAGAGAAGCCCTCCCCTAGTCCAGGCCCTGTACCCCCAGCCCCGCCCCGCCCCGCCCCGGCCCGCCACGGCCTGGCCCCTGCGATCCAGGGCCCCGCCCCGGCCCTGCACGTCCCGGAGCAGTTGCCCCGCCCGGCCGACCCCGCCCCGCCGCCGGCGCGCGGCTCGTTTCAGCACCGCGGCGCGGACAGCTCCGGGCGGGCGGCGAGGGGCGGAGGCGCGGCGAACTGTGGTCCTGGAGGGAAGACGCAGGCGGGCGGGCGGGGCGCGGAGCCCTGCGGCCCTCCCCGGGGGCGGTGCCCACCCGGAGCCCGACGCCGCTGAGCTCGAGGACAGGCGGAGACGCAGGGAGCCCGGGGCGCTTGTGGCTCCTGGCAGGGGCCGCGGCGAAAGATGCCGGTTCGCAGGGGCCACGTCGCTCCCCAAAACACTTACCTGGATACCATCATTCGCAAATTCGAGGGCCAGAGTGAGTGTGTGTGTTGGGTGGGGGGACGATCTGGAGTCCTGCTTCGGTGAAAGGAGGGACCGGATCCCTTTACTAACTTCCAATGGGGCAAGGTGGTGGGTGCCCAATGCTGAATGCAAAATTCCTCCGATGTCCCGAATACCTCTCCTCCAGCGGGACCCACTAACTTCAAATGCTGTCTTATCTTCTGGAACAGGAGGGGCAGAGTGCAGCCCCTCCCGCTTCCCACAGAGCTTTTTTCTTGAGCCCCAATACCTGACCTCCCCTTCCAGTCCCTTCCCCACTCCCACCCCCGTCTGTTCTCCCCCCCCCTTCTTCCAGAGGTTTCCCTGAGTCCTTCCTTTTTGCCTCCTAACCCTGGTCTTCCCAGGAACTCTTCCCAGGCCTGACTCCCATCTGGTCACATCTGTGTTCCCTGTCCTGGCCCCCTTTCCTATATCCAGGAGGCCTTGAGCCTTCTTCCCACCCAGACCCTTCCTGCCCTGGCCTTTCCACAATCCCCAGGCCTATTCCCCCTCCCCCACTTCTCTGGCCACCATCACGCACCCCCTCCTGGTCACCCCCCTCATTACTGCCAGGAGTGATGATGGCTGTGGCCTCCTTGGTCTTCCCACCCTCCCTAGACATGACTTCCCCCTCCCTCATTCTGGTCATTGTCCTGCTGCCACATCTAAATCCCCCTCCCTGCTGCCAAGAGTCCTATCATCTTTTCCTCCCTGCTGCCCAGTCCCAGCTACCTTGGTCTTTTCACCTCCCACCTCCCACCCCAGGTCGTAAGTTCCTGATCGCCAATGCTCAGATGGAGAACTGCGCCATCATTTACTGCAATGACGGCTTCTGCGAACTCTTCGGCTACTCCCGAGTGGAGGTGATGCAGCAACCTTGCACCTGCGACTTCCTTACGGGCCCCAACACCCCCAGCAGTGCCGTGTCCCGCCTGGCGCAGGCCCTGCTGGGGGCCGAGGAGTGCAAGGTGGACATCCTCTACTACCGCAAGGATGGTGAGGCACACTTGGGCCAGAGGTTCTGTAGGGCACTGACCCAGGGACCAGAGGGCCTGGACAAATCCTGTTTCCTCTAGTGGCCTCAGTTTTCTCATCTGTAGGGGAAAGCAATGGGCATTGAATGTGATCTCTTCTGAGGTCCTTTTCTGGGACTAGGCTTCAGGCCTGGGGCAGGGCCTCCTGCTCCACCATCCCTCCCCCATGTCCCTGGTCTCCTGGCCTTCCACTCTGTCACTGTCAGCCCCAGCTGTCAGGCAGCTGGGACGGAAATTAACCTTCCCTCATCTCCGTCTGCTCAGGGATTAGGGGAGGAGTCACCCCCTCAAGGCCTCTGTGGCCAGGCAAGGCACAGGGGATGCTGGCTGGGAGAGAGGGGTGGGCCCGGCTCATCCAGCCCAGTTCTCTGGGGAGATGAGGTCTGGAGTTTGCCTCAACCAGGAGGCTCACCCAGACAGAGTTCTGGTTGTTACCAGCCCGAGCTTACAGCAAGCAGAACAGGGACTGAGGACAGAGTTCAGCAGCCCTTTGTGATCCTCTCTCCAGGATGACAGGGTCCCCACTGGACCTGGGGGGATGGGTGGGAACTTGGATCAGAGCCTGAAAATCCCTTGGAAATCTCCTGGATCAATGGCCCCCAACCTGGCTCTGCATCAGAATTACCTGGGGCATGTTTTCCAAAACATGTCTTCCCTGGAGAGAGGCTGACTCAGAAGGTGTGAGATGAGGCCAAGCAGGTGTATTTGGAAAAATCTCCCTGGTGGTTCTGATGTTCTGCCAAGTTAGGAACCACTGGCTTAGATAAATCCCTTTGTATCATGGGTGTGGAAGGGCCTTGCCTGAGATCCTACTCCTAGAGTCCAACCTGGGGCTGGAACCCAAATATCTGGATTCCTCCCTCAGAGATGTCTGTTCTGAGAGATCCCAAGAGGGGAGAAAGAGCTCCCATAGTTTCTGTGCGTGGAAGCAGGACTTTTGGGGAAGGGAGCTCCCCAGAGGAGGGAAGCCCCAAGGGAAGGCAGACAGGAGGCCACCTGGGTGCAGATAAAGGGCAGGTGCCTTTGGATTGAGACTGAGGGGTGCTAAGATCCTGGGTTCCAGGGGCCTGGTGTGTGTGTGAAACATGAGTGTGAGTGTGAACATAGACATGTTGTGTGTGTGTGTGTGTGTGTGTGTGTGTGTGTGTTTATGGGCTTCTGGGGGCCCCTGGGGCATGTCCTGGCTGTCCCCTGGCTATACCTGCTGCTGCCACCCAAGTGAGTAGCCGGTGGGAAGTGCAGCAGGCAGGGGTGGCATTCGGGGCACTGGGAAGAATCTGGCTTAGTTTGGCAGCACTCCGAGGGTTAACAAAGTCAGAATATTTTTAAAAGCTGCAATCTCACCTCCTTATATCATTGCAGGGAGGAGGTGACAGTCAGGGGAGTGAGAAGGGTCCTGGAGGAACAGGATGGGATGGCAAGAAATGAGCAGGGATAACAGGTCCTTTCTGTCCCTCTCCTTGACCCCAGAACTCTACCTGGGCCCCAGAAGGTTGAGGGCTAATCCTAGATTCCTACAGATGTCAGATCTTGGGGATCTTGGTGTCCTCTCAGCACTTTGCAGGTTCCTGGGCAGGGACAGAGGTCAACGCCAGTCCTTGGCCCCCTGAGATCAGGACTCAGGTCTTCAGAACCCTGCTGGGGTCCTCCCTCCATCAGAAGGGAACTAGGAACCTAGTCTTGGAAGCCCTGGTGAAAGTGGGAAATTGCCTACATACTTACATACTTATGGTGCACCCTGAGTCCCCACCTACCCCCCCCCTCAGCCATTCCCTAGCCTGTTGCCCAAGCCTTTGATCACCTGAACCTTCCTGAAATTGGACTGAAATCCAGACAAAGGAGTTTCCCGGCCCATGTTACCCTAAGGGAAGGATATAGTGCTCAGATAAGTTCACCTTAAGGTCCACTCTGACCACATGATCTTTTTTTTTTTTTTTATCACATTTACATACATCTTATAGTCCTGTGGAGGGGCATCCTAATGGCTATTTCTTCCCTTCTCAGGTCAATACCTTCCCTTCCCCCCAAACTCAATTCCAGGGAGGTGGGAAGGGGTCCTGAATAGATCTCTAGCTGATTTATGTATAATCCTCTTTCACTCTAAAGGGGTAATCCACTGAAAATTCTCAAAGTCAGAGTGGAGGGCCTGTGTTTTATGCAGCTGCATAAAGTTGGGCTCAAAGAAGCCAGGACATTTGGCAAAAACACCCCATGGACAGAGCACAGAGACCCCAGGAAACTGGCTCTTCTCCTGTCTCCCTTTACTAGGAAAAGTAAGAACCTAACCGATAAGGAGGATGAGGATTGTTGGAGGACTAGAACCATTGACAGTTGGAGGGAGACATGGAGAGTACTCAGATCCCCCCACCCTCATCCTCACTTGCCCCTGGTAGGCACCTGCCAACGGCCCCAGTCCTCCCTGCCTTTGCTGGCTTGTCTTCTCTGATGATCCCAAACCGGAGAGTCCCTTAATCCCCAAGCCAGACTAGAGGAAGCTGAGGGCTTCCCCAGTCCTCAGCTCTGGGTGAGGACAGGGCACTCTCTCCCCACCCCCCCTGCTGCTTTCCACACGCTCACCCATGAATGCCAGGAGGACCAGGCTGGAGGCAGCATGGAGCAGCCACCCTCTTAGTGGCAGCCTGCTGTGGCAGCAGCCCCTCCCTGAGGTCTCCCACAGGGCTGGATAGGGAGTGTGTAAAGACAGCAAGGAGGCCGAGAGGAGAGAGCCAGGGCCAGGGTGGGGAAGGAGTATGAGTGATGAGAGACAGAAAAAAGGAGCACATTTGATGGGAAGAGAAGAGCAGAGAAGAGTGGGTGTCCCAGGGAGCAGACACACCTGCCGCCCTTGGTCAGAGAGTCGGTGCTGGGAGGAGCCCCAGAAGGCAGAAGACTGTGGCTCTTCCTCCAGGGACTGGGCAAGGGCACAGGGACACTGCCACTCCTGGGTACAATCTAAGACAATACACTCACCTACTTCCAGTCACCCAAACACAGTTACCTGTGGGCTCTGAACCATGAGTAAGCAAGGACAGCCTGAGGAAGGGGGGAGAAAGAATGCTCTGGAGTCTTCAAAATTCTCATAGCCTCCTGTCTGCCTACCCAGGAGGCAGCAAGCATGGGGGTGGGGCACGGGGTGCCAGGCACCAACCCCCACCCGTCCCAGCCCTCATTGCTGTGATGGGCTGGCGTTTGGTCCTTTCCCAGCCGCAGTTTTCCAAATGCACCCCTTTCCCGATAGCACCAGTTGTCGGGTGCAGCCACCCTGAGACTGCAGCCCTCAGCAGCAGAGACAGGCTGGAGGCCCCTCTGCCCAGCTCTGCCTTCCCCACCCCCACCAGGCCAGATTTCTGTGGTGCCAGAGAGATTGAGGATATAGTCTGGCCTTTGGGAGAAGTGTCCCAGGCCACTGGCCAAGGAGGTTTCCTGGCTAGATCCCAATGTCTGAGCCTCGCCATGGCCTAGGCTGATGAGAGTGACAGGCTCGGGCCTGGGACTCAGGGCCTGTAGCACTGTGAGCCCAGGAGTGCGTCAGGCCAGGCAGGCAGCCTCTCCCCGGTGTGGATGTCTCCCCTGGGCCCAGACAGCAGCTGGCAGATGGCTGCCTGGTGCCTGGGAGTCCAGGAATCTGATCTGGGGAGATTCCTGCTCCATGGAGGAAAGTGAGAAGGAGAATGGGGGTGGCTCGGCTGCACCCCAGCTCTGATGCCTGGGAGGAGGGGCTGAGGGAAGTGACCGCTAAATAGGGCGTCTAGTGAAGAGTGATTCTAAAGGTCCCCCAAATAGCAATACTCCTGCCAGTCAGCCTGGGTCCCGCACGTTTATATGCACACACACTTGCATTCACTCTGCCAATACACAACACCTGGGGCAGGTAAGACAGCCCCAAACCCATCCCCGGGGAGGGCAGCTATGCCTTCTGATTTGCATGGTCACCTGAGGCCGCTGCCACCTGCTAGCAGTTTGAGTTGAGGGATGTAGGACCCCCATAGAGGGGGGCTCACAGGGCACTGCCCTCAGGCATTTTAGCTGGTGTTGCTCTGCCCACTAATGGGAGCTGCAGCGAAACCCTAGAGCAGAGATGGGGCAGAGACTGTGGCCAGAGAGGCCCAGGGGGGCCAGCAGCTGGGTCTGGGCTGCCCAGGAAGGTGGACAGGGTGGCTGGTGGGGCCTGCTGCCCCTGCGTGGCCATCTCCCTCCCTCTCTGGCCCTCAGGCCACTGCTCTGCCCACTCCCGGGCCCAGCCTCTGCCTTGGGACCACACACTCCTCCCAGGCTGGGAGCAGCAGCATGGCCCTAGCCTCAGCACCTTCCTCCCAGACAAGCCCCTTCCCTTCTCCAGGGTGTTATGGCTGACAGCCCAAGCAAGTCAGTTTCTCCGAGCTCCAGGCTCTCATCTGCAGAACAGGGGTCTATGCCTAACCCCCAAAGACCACCTGAGTGTGATGTACCAACTGGCCCAGTGCCCAGCACTTAGTGTGTTTTGACAAGTTCCTTCTGGCATCAGGGGAGCAGGGCATCTTTGTGGGATGGGGATGTGGGAGCCGATCTGAGGGTCAGCTACGTGGGGTAGAATGCCCAGCCTCACCTCCCCACTTAATCCACCCCCATCTGCTCAGCTTTAATTACAGCAGAAGCAAACCTCGAGGTTAAGCCCTGAGCTGAGGGAGCGTGGACTTGGACCTGATGCCGTATCATCTCCTAATGAGCAGCTTAGCACTCTCCCACCTCTGCCCTGTGGGTGGGACACCGGCTGGCCAGCCGCATCCACCCTCTGCCCCATAGCTCTGGTCCCTGTCCAGGCCCCAGTAGCTGCCCTTAACCTGACCTTCACTCCGCCTCCTCCGTAGCCAGGTCACTGCAGGAGGGGAGCCCATCAGGGACCACCCTCACCCCCACCCCCACACTGGTGTTTGCAGCCTCCAGCTTTCGCTGCCTGGTGGACGTGGTGCCTGTGAAGAACGAGGACGGGGCTGTGATCATGTTCATCCTCAACTTCGAGGACCTGGCCCAGCTTCTGGCCAAGAGCAGCAGCCGCAGCCTGTCCCAGCGCCTGTTGTCCCCGAGCTTCCTGGGCTCCGGTGAGGCGGGTGTGGGTGGTGGTGGTGGGAGAGGTGCGTGGGGTCACCAAGTCCTCAGCTCTGGCTGCTCTGACCCTGGCTCTGGTTCCAGAGGGCTCTCACGGCAGGCCGGGCGGGCTGGGGCCTGGCCCAGGCAGGGGCAAGTACAGGACGGTCAGCCAGATCCCGCAGTTCACGCTCAACTTCGTGGAGTTCAACCTGGAGAAGCACCGCTCCGGCTCCACCACCGAGATCGAGATCATTGCGCCCCACAAGGTGGTGGAGAGGACACAGAATGTCACCGAGAAGGTCACCCAGGTGGGGGCCTGCAGGGCAGGGTGGGCAGGGGTGTGCCAGGCCTCCAGGGTCCCCTCTCGGGGCCTGGGCCCAGGCTCTTCTGGGGCCTCAGGCTTGGTCAGCCCTCTAGTGTGTGGCACGAGCCAGAAAGTCCTGTTTGAGTCTGATTCTTTGGACCCAAAGGCTGTGCTGAGACCAGGGCTCTGATGGCCGGCTCCTGGAGCCAGGGAAGCTTGGGGTCTGTGTGGCTGGAGGGCAGTGCCACCTCCTAGGCCTGGAATAACAGAGGTAGGGTGAGGCTGGACACGCAGGCCACCATGTGGGCCTGCCCAGGCTCTGCCAGTCACAAGGAAGGAGAGGCAGAGAGGGGACATGTTAGGGCCAAACAGAAGCCCAGTGAGAGGAGGGGAGGGAGGAGGGCTGCTCTCCAAGCTCTGCTCCTGCTCCTTGCATTTGGCATGACTGCCACCCAGCACACACAGCACACACAGTCCTGCTGCGTGCCAGACAGAGATGGGGCAGGGCTGGTACCTGCAGCTTTCTCTGATCAGCTTCCTGAGGACCAGGCCCTGAATGCCCCCTCCCCGTGCAGTCCCTCCTTGGCCAGGCAAAGCAAACTTACCTGGGTTCTCTGTGTCAGCTGACGCCACCCTTCTTCTGGGGCCTGATGGCCTGACCATTCCATAGGGAGATGCAAAGAGCCCTGCCTGAGGCTCCAGTGCCACAGTCCTGGCACTGACTCACTTGCGACCTTGGGTAAGGAGCCCCTCCCCTTGCTCGGCCTTCAGGGCTCTCATCTGCAGGAGGGAGCTGGGCTAAGTGGGCTAAGAGGACCCATTTGACATGGAGCAGTACTGGCCCCAGGAGGCAGACACAGCTCTGAGTCATAGAAGGGCCTAGGCCAGGGCAGAGCATGGGAAGGGCCTACTCCCAGCTTCCCCTGGGGCTGTCCCTTCATGGGGGCTCTTTCCCTGCCTGCCGCTTTTCATCTGAAGCACGGCTGGCGCTGGAACCAGGTGTGGGGGAGACCACTCAGCCCCTCACTGAGTGCAAAGACACGAGGCTGCAGTGCTGGACCCTCTGAGGTCAGGCAGCGTGGCCCAACAGCCTGACCCTGGGAAGCCCACCCCTGCTTCCCTAAGGCCCCTTAGGTTGGTGCTACCAGCAGTGGCCGCCGTGACGGGGCTGTTAGATTAGAGGGTAGTCATGCTCCTGTCCTGCTCCCAGCCCCAGCCCCCTGGGCTTCACTGGCCCACCCCACATGGGCTCTAAGATGAGGGAGGTGCCGAGAGAGCTCAGGGGAGGGGCTGGGCTGGGCCTGGAACAGCAATGGGCAATGTCATGTGGGCCTCCCCCAGAACATAAAGGGCTGAGAGGGCTGTGATCTCACAGCGGTGCCCCTGTATACCAGGGCCCCGAAGCTCCGGGGGACACTGGGCAGGGTGGGCAGGGAAGGGCCCTCACGCTGGCTTCAGAGGCAGTGGGAGACTCTGAGGGTCGGTGTCGTGGGGAGATTGCTCCCCTGTCTGGGGTTCTCAGGCGCTGAGGAACTGGACGCCCTCCTCTCAGCAAACTGGAACCCCCTTTCCTGCTGCCTCCCTCCCTCGCCCCACACAGGCGGGCTGGGGTAGGCCTGGCAGCCACGTGCTTTGTTGTTTCACCCTAGCAGGACGGCGGGAGTGGCCCTGGGAAGGAGCAGAGCGGCTGCTGCGCATCAGAGGGGCCTGTGGTTGAGAGCCCACTGGACCCAGCGCTGGGCACGCAGGGATGGGCGGCTCGGCGGGGACTGGGGGCGAGGCCCACAGAGCTTGCAGTCCCCTGGAGAATAACCATGCAGCCTATGGGGCAGGGGGAAAATCAAAAAAGAGGGGCCAAGTTTATGTGGAGTCAGAGGCGGCTTCCTGGGGAGGTGGAATATGAGCTGAGGCCTGAAAGTCACTGTAGGGTGGGGACACCATGGCCCCTCCCAGGGGGTTGGATGTCAGGCAGGGGACCTTCTGGTTGAAACCAGCCCTTCCATGGGTCTTTCTTATTGTGATTCCCGTCTGCTAATTGACCTGGTTGCAAGGTTGAAACCTTACACTACAGATTTTCTTAAGCCAGAACCATCCACCAGACCCACCTGGTGGGGAGGGGGTCCATGGGATGCCCCTCAGGCTCCACCCTTGCTGGAGTAGTGGCTGATGCAGGGTGGAAGAAAGAATTACCGTGTAGAGTGGCATGTGCCATCTATGCGCAAGGAGATGAGTCTCATTTAATCACAGCATGTTCTCCTTTGCTGTTCCATTTTGCAGATGAGGGAACCGAGGCTCACAGAGGTTACGAAACTTGCCCCAGTTCACACATAGAGCAAGTGTCAGACCTGGGATTCAACCAGGGGTGTCTGGCTTCGAGACTCTGCCCTTCCTAATGCCCGCTGCTGCTCGGGCTGGGCAGCAGGGCAGGGCCCGGGCATGCAGTGTCGGCCACAGTCCGGGAGCAGGAGTGGGAGGGGCAAAGCGGAAGAGGGGCTTCTGAACGTGATGATCCCAACCTCCCTGGACACGTGGGAAGTGGTCAGGGCTCCTTGGTGCCCAGGACCTTTGAGGGTCCAGATTGGCTACCTCTCTCCCAAACTGACACTTCCCATGGAAGGTTCTGAGAGTTGGCCCCAGGGAGGGCCCTCACTGGTCCTGATCCCCAGGGCCCTCAGAAATGAAGAGGCTATTCTAGGGGTGACCTGTTCTTATCAGGAACTCCAACCACAGGAGGCCCCCCAAGCCCGCCCAGCCACCTCCTCAATCTAGACTCTTCTCTGGAACATGCCCCCAGATGACCCTAGCCCTCCCCTGCCCCATCTCCGCCCACTCTAGGACGTTTCTAAAGTAGCATGCAAACTTCATACCTGGGGCCACTGTGGGACAGAGCTGCACCCCTCCTTCTCCCTCCCGCCCCCTCGCTCTGCACTTCCTCCCAGCACGTCTGCTCCCTAGTCTGTCCCCTCCCTTTGCTCCCCATGCTCCTCCACCCCAGCCCTTGTGTCCCACCCTCTCCCACCGCTCCCTGCCTGGGCCCAACCCTCCAGACCTGTCTCACTAGCCCTGGCCGCCCCACCTGCAGGTCCTGTCCCTGGGCGCGGACGTGCTGCCCGAGTACAAGCTGCAGGCGCCGCGCATCCACCGCTGGACCATCCTGCACTACAGCCCCTTCAAGGCCGTGTGGGACTGGCTCATCCTGCTGCTCGTCATCTACACGGCCGTCTTCACGCCCTACTCGGCCGCCTTCCTGCTCAGCGACCAGGACGAGTCCCGGCGCGGGGCCTGTGGCTACACCTGCAGTCCGCTCACCGTGGTGGACCTCATCGTGGACATCATGTTTGTCGTGGACATTGTCATCAACTTCCGCACCACCTACGTCAACACCAATGACGAGGTGGTCAGCCACCCGCGCCGAATCGCCGTCCACTACTTCAAGGGCTGGTTCCTCATCGACATGGTGGCCGCTATCCCCTTCGACCTGCTCATCTTCCGCACCGGCTCCGATGAGGTGAGCAGAGCCCATCCAGGCCAGCGGCCATGGCTGTCCCCTGCGCCCCAGCCCCATAGCCTCCCTGCCTCACAGTGCTGGGTGCAGAGTCCCTGGCATCCGCCTTTGCCAAAGCAAGTGGAGGTGGAAAGGGGGACATTTGTCACCTCCCAGCCCTGAGAAGGACCAGTGGAGCCTGTGTCCCCAGGCCTGGGTGCCAGCCCTCTGCCCCCTCCCTCTGAGCAGGCCCTTCTGTGCCCCAGGATTCTGTCCCCTTTGTCCCAGATGACTTCCAAAGCGTGCTCACCCCAGAGTGATAAAGAGAATCCACAGGCTGCTCCCCCGAGGCAGCCTGACCCCTTCGTGCCCCAGCCCCTCCGCTATGCCCACTCTGCACCTGCATGTGACGTGAGAGCACTGTCATGCCCTTCCCATAGCCTCCACTCCCACTTTCTCCCCTGCCCCATCTCCTCAGGATCAGTTTCCCCTTAAGCCAACTCTGCCTTCTGTGTTGCAGTCACCCCCTCCAGTCACCCCAGCGTGTCAGCAGGGGGTGTCCAGCGGGGCTCCTCTACACCAGAGCCCCCCTTCCAGCACCCCCAGCAAACCCATTCCCAAGTCCTCTCCCCCCCAACCCCCACTTCCCCTGCCTGGACGCTGAGTGGCCTTCTCACTCACCCCTGCCCCAGACCCACGCCCCAGCCTCCTGCCCCTCCACACTGCAACCAGAGGGAGTTTCGGATCACTTGACCCTGTCACTCCCCCTCAGAACCTTCGATGGCTCCCCAGGGCCTACAGAATAACAGCCAAGCTCATTTCTTGCTCCTCTGACATCTCCCACTCTGCGCTCCAGTGACACACTTGGTTTCCCAGGAGGGCCACACCACTTTGCACCTCCACTTCCATGCCTCTGCGCCTGCTGCTCCCTGCACTGGGAGTGCCTTTCCCTCTCCCTCCTGTCTGCCTAGAGACCCAGCCTCCTCTCTCAAGACTCAGCTCATGTGACACCTCCTCTTTGAAGCCTCCCCTGACCTGCCCCTGCATTCTTGCTCTTTCTTTCCTGTGTGCTCACACTAGACTTCTTTCCTAGCAGCCAGAACACTGTTATGAGCTTTAGGCCGAGATCCTTAAGGTCCCACACCATGTCCCGGTGCCAAGTGCCTGGCCCAGAGCAGGTTCTCCATAAGTGTTTGTTGATTGACTATGTGATTGTATGCAGAGTGAACAAATGAGAGCTTGAGCACACTCTTCCAAGGGCTGACCCCCAGTCCTATGGCCCTCTCCCCACCCCTGCAGACCACGACCCTGATTGGGCTACTGAAGACAGCGCGGCTGCTGAGGCTGGTGCGCGTGGCACGGAAACTGGACCGCTACTCTGAGTACGGGGCGGCTGTGCTCTTCCTGCTCATGTGCACCTTTGCGCTCATCGCGCACTGGCTGGCCTGCATCTGGTATGCCATCGGCAACGTGGAACGGCCCTACTTGGAACCCAAGATCGGCTGGCTGGACAGCCTGGGTGTGCAGCTTGGCAAGCGCTACAATGGCAGCGACCCGGCCTCGGGCCCCTCGGTGCAGGACAAGTATGTCACGGCGCTCTACTTCACCTTCAGCAGCCTCACCAGTGTGGGCTTCGGCAACGTCTCGCCCAACACCAACTCCGAGAAGGTCTTCTCCATCTGCGTCATGCTCATCGGCTGTGAGTGGGCTCTCGTGCCGTGGTCTTACCCCTGGAGTTCCGTTTGTGGTTTCGTAATGAGGTATAACATAGCACACAGAAACAATTCACGCAGCACTCTGATCCCAAGTGTGCAGCACAATGGATTTTTGCGTTTGTGTACACCAATTAGTCACAGACTTTAACACCCACACAGCCCTCAACATATGCCAGGCACCACGACCAGCTACATCAGAGGCAGGGCTTGGTGCAAAATGAAAATGTAGAGCCCCTTGTTAAAAAATGTATTAAGAATTTCGAGATGGTGACAGCAAGGCATTTAATCAAATGCAGGGCTCTTAGCACAGGGCCCCCTGTGACTGCATAGGTTGCAAGTCCAGGAAGCCAGCTCTGCCAGGCACTCCTTTAAACGCATTACAAAAGCCTACCCTTCGTTCCCCTCGAAGCCCAGTTTGCAGAGTGAGAACTTAAAGTCCTAACTCGCACCAACTAGCTAGGAAGTCTCTGCCACCCAGTTCCATCCAGCCCAGGTGGTCGGCTCCAGTCCCTGCACTGAGCTGCCTCCCAAGACACCTGCTTTAGGAACACAAGAGGCAGTGTGGAATTTTACACGTAGATTAAGTTGTCATGTTCCAAGTATTTCGAGACGTGAAAGCCCAGAAAACCAAAAACAGGAAAACAAAATGGGTGAAAACAAGAGATCAAGAGTTTTCTCCTCATTATATTTTTACAGCTTGAAGGATAAAACAAAATCTAAACTTTAAAAAATCCATTACGCTAGTTCCTTATGGTAGCAGGAGTTTGGCCTATGGGCCCGGGAAGATGCCAAGAGGCACAGGGCAGAGGGAAGAGGGCAGGAGGTCCAGAGGCCTTTGTCCCCCATGTGCCCTGGGACTGTCCTGGGCACCTCTGACTTGCCCCCGGACAGAGGGGTCCCTCACCAGGGGGCTCCGGGGAGAGGGAGGAGGCCCTGGCGGTGCGCCTGGCGGGGATGCCAGAGGCTCACTCCCGCCACCACCACCCCCAGCGCTCATGTACGCCAGCATCTTCGGGAACGTGTCTGCCATCATCCAGCGCCTGTACTCGGGCACCGCGCGCTACCACACGCAGATGCTGCGCGTCAAGGAGTTCATCCGCTTCCACCAGATCCCCAACCCGCTGCGCCAGCGGCTCGAGGAGTACTTCCAGCACGCCTGGTCCTACACCAACGGCATCGACATGAACGCGGTGAGCCCCCGCCGCTCTGGCCGATGCCCCAGGGGAGACCACGGTCCCGCGGAGAGCCCTCCCCGCCCGCGCCCCCAGCCCCAGCCCCGGCCCCGGCCGCAGCCCCGCTGGACTCGGCCGCCCGCCTCGCAGGTGCTGAAGGGCTTCCCCGAGTGCCTGCAGGCCGACATCTGCCTGCACCTGCACCGCGCGCTGCTGCAGCACTGCCCGGCCTTCAGCGGCGCCAGCAAGGGCTGCCTGCGCGCGCTCGCCGTCAAGTTCAAGACCACGCACGCGCCGCCCGGGGACACGCTGGTGCACCTCGGCGACGTGCTCTCCACGCTCTACTTCATCTCCCGCGGCTCCATCGAGATCCTGCGCGACGACATGGTCGTGGCCATCCTAGGTGAGTCAGGTGGGGTGGACCAGGTCCGTGTTGGGGGGCGCTGCGGGGCTAAGGGGGCTGGAGAAGCCGTGCCTGGGCCACCCTCTTTCTAACGGGGTCGTGGCACCTTTTACTGACCAGCCACGTGCCGAGCGTGTGCCGTGGAGAGCTTTATATCCAGCTCACCGAGTCCTTTAAACAACCTTCTGCCATGGGACCCATTTTCCTGAGCGGGAAGTTGAGGCTCACAGAGGTCGGGCAAGTCAGTGGCCAAGTAGGGATTCCAGGGCTGCGAGTCTGGCACAGAAGCCCTGGCAGTCTCCTCCCAACCTTCTTCCGCTCTCGCTGAGCTCAGGGTGACAGGGTGACAGGACAGGGGTCTGTCCTGGGTGGAGGGGATGCCCTAACTGGATACCCCAGTCTCATTCAGTGCAGGTGCAGGGATAGCTGGACGCTTTGAGGGAAGGATATGAGCACTGGGCAGGGGACAGACTTGGGTCACAAGTGGCCTCTGCCGTTTACCTACTATGTGACGTTGGGCAAGTCAGTTTACCTCTCTGAGCACACAGCGCCCTCTCCTGGACTCTCATCGTCCTTGCCTGTTCCATGACCTCATCTCCACATGAGTCTCCGGCTCCAACTTCAGCCTCGCCTTCCTTTGGTGACCTGGCTCTCCTCCAGCCCCTCGGGGGGACAGGTCCCCCTGGGGCTCCTCTGCTCACTCCCCTCCCTCTGGCCTGCTGGTGCTCTGCCCTCTTCTTTTCACCCCACACCCACCCCTGGGCCAGCTCCCTGCTCCCACTGCCTCAACCCCCACCCAGGACCCTCAGAGCTCTGTCCTGCCCCTCTCTCTCCTTAGACTGGAATATTCCATTCCTTCCTGGCAATGGCTACCCTGATACCCCATATGCAGACCCAACTCAACATATGCCAACCTGAAATCCTCACCTGTCCTCAAAAGCAGTTCCGTTGGCATCCCCATCACTGTCACCATCCAACCACTGCCCAGGCCAGAGTCAACCAAGGGAGTGTCCTTCCTCCCTGCCCCACTGCCCACGAGCCAGTCAGCCACACAGCCCGCTCTGTGACCTTCATCAATACGTCTCCATCCCACACCTGACTCCTTGTCCCCGCCCAGGTCTAGCCCTCTTTGTGTCCTTCCTGGGCAGGTGTCGGGAGCCCCTTTCCTGTGGCCCTGTGTCTGATCTACCCCCATGTTCGTCTTCCACCTTTTGTCAAGTGACCTGAAATACACATTCTCAAGCCTCTTCTGCTCAAGATCCTTCCATGGTTCCCCATGGCCCATTTGTGGCACGCACAGTTCTCCCAGTCTGGCCACTCTAAATCCTGCTACCCTCCCCCTGGCACGTCATGCTCCAGCCATGCAAACTATTTATGGTTCTCTATATCTGCTCGTCTCTGTGCCTTTGCATGTGCTGCCACTCTGCTTGGAGTGCCCTACACTGCACCTCTGTCTGGCAGACTCCAGTCATCCTCCAAGGCTGGGCTCAAGTGCAGGCCCCTCTATGAGACCTTCCCTCACTCCCAGCCTTCCTTAGAAGTGCCATCCACATGGGAGGGATAATGGGATAATAATTATTATTAATAATTAAGAAGCTAGTCCAATTTAAGTTTCAGCTGGAGACATGAAATCCTCTCGTTTTGTCCTGAGTAGAAATAGACATTAGACCACATAATCTTTCATCTACTGGAAAACCACCACATTAAAATGTCGCCCATATTTCAAGCTTCAGAGTTGCATGTGTGACCCTGGTGAGTCCCATGCTCTGTGAATTAACTTTGATCCTGTTCTCTCGGGTCGGGGGTATTTCCCAGCCTCCCCCATCCCTCTCCTCTGTCTGCGCCAAACCATCAGCACCCCTCGCATAGTATCACCAGGCTGCGGGGGAGTCAAAGCGGCCATGGTCCATGGCACCCCTGACCCTGAGCTCTCTGCCCCTCAGTCCTGGCCATGCTGTGCTGACCACACGCTGTTTCTTCTGCCCAGATCGCCTTTCTCCTGGGGCCCAGTCCTTGATTCTCTGACACAGTGCCCATTTCACTTCCTCTGTAAGCTCCGCCTCCCTGCCCCAGCCACCCCTGACAGGAGGAGCCCCTCCCTCTTCCAAGGCCCTGGGCTCTTGGCTCTACCCTGTTCTAGGACTCTGTAGATCATTCTGCAAACTTGTCGGCTGCTTCCAGGCCTGTCTTGCAGGGACTTGGGAGGCTACTCGTGAGTGGGACAGCAGCTTGTTAAGGTTTATATCCTGTGGCCAGCATAGCGGCTGGCACCAGGAGGGCTCAATACCCTTGCCACATGGCCTGAGCATCACCCCGTGCCCACGCTGTGATATCCCTCCCTCCCAATGCCTTGCATTGACCTTGTCTGCTGCCACTTGCTTTTCAAGGCACTTTCTCACGCGTCACCTCATGTGCTTCTCTGAACAGCCCAGTGGGGCAGGCAAGGCAAATATAGTCATGCCCATTTTAGAGATGAAGACTCTAGGGTCCAGAGAGGGGGAGTGACTTCCCCAGGCGTCCCTGCCAGGGCCACAATGGGGAATGAGAAGACAAACAGAAGCCTAGCCTCGGGCCCTGCACTGAGGGAGCTGGGTGCTGCTGGCCCTGGGTCCCCTGCACCCTGCTCCACAGGCAGGTTGAGGTGAGCAGGGGAGGGGCTGGACAGGGAGACTTTAATGACCTTTACTGCTCACCATCCCCTGGGTGGGAGTGGGGACAGGGCCAAAGACTGTGGATGTGAGGAGGGGATGCTGATGGAAGCTGGCTCTGGGAGGCCTGAGACAGCAAGAGGACCATGTGCCGGGTTGGGAGCGGCTCTGAATGGATCTCTGTGGCGCTCAGAGGACAGGGACCCCTTCTCCCTCCTCCCCAACCAGCACTTCCAGCCCTGTCCCCACAGCTTGATCCTGAGCACCAGACCCCAGCCTGGCAGGAGCCCTGCGGTGGGAAGAGGCCACAGTCAAGGGACCTTCGGGAAGGCTGCTCATAAGGGAGCATGGAGCCAGTCCTGAAGGGCCCACCTCCCTTCTGGTTGGCAGGGAAGAACGACATCTTTGGGGAGCCTGTCAGCCTCCATGAGCGGCCTGGCAAGTCCAGCGCAGACGTGCGGGCCCTGACCTACTGCGACCTGCACAAGATCCAGCGGGCAGACCTGCTGGAGGTGCTGGACATGTACCCTGCCTTTGCGGACAGCTTCTGGAGTAAGCTGGAGGTCACTTTCAACCTGCGGGACGTGAGTCTGGGCCGAGCGGGCCAGGGTGGGTGGCAGTTCTCAGCCAGCTGGTGACAGGTAATACCTGGGCAGCCTGCTGAGGGCTTGGCCTGCCTGGCCCAAGGGGACCCATCTGACCACCGCCTTCCTTTCAACCCATCCTCCACCCTTGGCCATAATTTCTTCTGTGCCTACCATGGCCAACGTCATGCCAAATACAATGACAGCTACCACTGATTGATCACCGGCTGTGTGCTAAGGGTGGGGCTTCTTTTACAGGTTCTCACTGAGTCCTCTCCTTGCAACTGGTGTAATATCCCCTTTTCCAGATGAGGAAACTGAGGGCCAGAGAGGATAAATAAATTGGCCAAAGCCATACAGCTAGTAAACGGCAAAACCAAAATATGCATTCGAGTTTGTCTGACTCCAAAGCCCAGGCTTCTCCCACACACCGTATGCACCGAGCTAAAAGGCAGGGTGTCTGCCACCCAGAGGGCTCACGGCAGGAGAGGTGATAAAGTTGTCTCTCCTCTCAAGGTTACAGCTCAGTGGGGGAGATTATAACTCCACAAAAATACAGAGCCACACAGTAAAATAACCGAAGTCACAGGGGGTGCAGGAGAGACCACATTTCTGTGGAGCTCAGGCTTGCCAAGGAGCAGGACCGTCAGGACAGCCCCTGGGAGTGCCCAGAAGGGGCTTCATGGAGGAGGGCCTGGGAAGGAAGGGGCAGGTGCGCCCAGCAGGTGACTCCTCCCTCTCCTGTAGCCCCTCCCCTCAGCCTCAGGAGGAGGCTCTGCTGGCCCAGGCCATGCCCAGCTCTGGAGGGTGGTGCTGAGCAGGTTTTCTTGCTGGGGACAGCATTGTCCCCTCTGCTGCTCGTACCCTCCCCAGTCTCTCCCCTTCCCATCTGACCTGCACAGGAGATATCTGGTAAGAACCCTGCCTGGGGGGTCCCAGCCTCTGGAAGGTGGCCCTCGTGCCCAGTGGCTGGACACCAGGGTAGGAGGGATGTAGTCTCTGTGGCCTATGTCATCTGCAACCGCCAGGTGACACCAAGTCGCATGGTTCCAGGAGGGTGGGCTGCCAAGGACACTGCTGAGGGCACTCCCCGAGTGGCTTGGGGGTTTCAGACCAGCCTCCCCCAAGGAAACTCCACATTGGCCCACGCTGGGGAGGGAGCACCAGGACACTCGGGAAGGTGGCACTGCAGGGCAGCTCTTCTGCCTCCCCCCAAATCTTGCTGCTCAAGGCAGCCTCTTCCAAGACCTCAGTGGGGTTACCACGTGGCCGCCCAAGCAATGCTTTCTGCCTGCCTGCCCAGCCTCCCAGGGGACAACCTGAAGGAAGCTGCCCCCTGTCAACACTTTCTCACCTAGTTGTGATAGGGCCATGGTGGGGGCAGGGTAGGGAAAAACCAAGAGGCCCCATCCGAGCTTTGGTCCCTGTTACTTGATGCTCTTGTTCCCCACAAGGCAGACGGGGGTCTCCAGTCATCACCCCAACAGGCTCCGGGCAGCCAAGACCAGCAGGGCTTCTTCCTTGGCAACCAGTCAGGTGAGCACAGCCAGCCCCTGCCAGCGTCTGCGCAGACTCCTGCGCTTCTCATGTCCTTCCCATCCTGCCTCCCCAGCCCCAATGCGTGGAGAGAGCTCCCTCCTGGGGCCGGGCTAGAACCTTTGCCCCCCTCCTCCCCACTCTCCCAGCCCTGATGGCCTGTGTCCCCTGAGCCAGAGTGAGGGCTCACCGGTTCATGGGGGTTCACACCAAGGCATCAGGGGACCCACTGGGCTGCAGCTCCCTGGGCAGTGAGACCAGGGTTAGAAGTCCCCATGCTGCCAGCGTGGGGCCCCAGCTCCTTTCCCATGGCTATAGCCTCCTGGGTCCTAGAGGCCAGACCTCCATGGTGGAGGCCCTCGTGCTCCAGGGCACCCAGGTAAGGAGAGCCACTCCCCATGCCCTGTGTTCCTGGGGCAGGTGGGGGCAGGGCACAGGCTCTGCTGAGGAGGGACAGCCAGTGGAACCAGCTGGATGGAGCTGAGGCTTCCCTTTTCCTCCTGCAGATGCAGCGCCTTCCCTGAGCGTCTCAGATGCATCTGGCTTCTGGCCTGAGTTGCTGCAGCAAATGCCTTCAAGGCACAACCCCCCGAACCCTCAGGGAGACCCAGACTGCTGGCCTCGGGAGCTAGGCTCCCGGCTAGAGCAGCTCCAGGCCCAGATGAACAGGTGGGTGCCCAGCAGGCCAGGGCTGGGGCAGCAGCAGAGGGCATATCCAGCGGCGGGCTGGGCACGAGGGCCCCCTCCTGGTGGCTCAGAGGCATCACCCAGTGCCAGGTGGGTTTTAGAACAGCGGGCCCATTTAGCTGCAGGTCTCCCATCCCTGTCACTAAGCATGATTTCTTGGACGGCTTCCCCTAGCAAACCCTAGAACGTGTCAAGGAAGCCTTCTGGGGGAGGGCACAACTATGGGCAGAAACAAATTCTGTGGGCCCTGAGAAAGGGGGCATGGCCTGTGGGTGGCAGGGCCGTGGTGGTAGAGTGGGGGCTTAGGGGCAGAACAGTCGTGGCTTCAAATTCTGGCTCTGTAACTTACCAGCAAGAGTGTGGGCAAGTTACTTAACCACTCTAGGCCTTGGTTTACCCCTTTATGAAATGGAGATAATTAGAATACCCATGTCAAAGCATCTTGGGGACTGAATGTTGTGTGCTTGCTGCCTGGTCACTGGTGTTATCAGAGTCAGGGATGTACTAGGGGGAATTGAGATAGGAGCAATGGATCCTCGTGGGGCAAAAGCTTCAGGTAGGCCCCAGGCTGCCATTGCATTTGGCAGGAACAGTGTGCAGGCTCCAAAATTGAGAACTGCCCTCAGGACCTGAACTGCTCTCACCAGCCCTCGCCCTGACCACGGGGTTCTGTCTGGCAGGCTGGAGTCCCGCGTGTCCTCAGACCTCAGCCGTATCCTGCAGCTCCTTCAGCAGCCCATGCCCCAGGGCCACACCAGCTACATTCTGGAAGCCCCTGCAGCCAATGATCTGGCCTTGTTTCCTATGGCCTCAGCGACTCAGAGTCCAGGGCCCATGCTGCCCCAGGGCCATCTGCTCCCTGCACAGGTGAGAGGTGAGGGGATCCCCAGGAGCTTGCCTGGAGGCAGCTCCATGCCTTCTCCAACCCCCAACTTGGTCTTAGTGTGGCATCAGGCCCAGACTCTCTGTGGCCCCCAGAACAGCTGTGGCTTCTGCTGTCTTCTTTTACAATTTGTATCATGACAGGGCAGCCTAGACAGGGTGGTGCCAGAGCCCAGATTGTGACCACAGACTCCACAGCTGGGGCAAGAGCAACAGGCCCCCAAGGGGCGGGAGGAGGTACAGCTCTTGCCCATACCCATCCCTGAAGTCAGGGTAGATTAACCTGCAGCCTGGCCTGGAGGGCTCCACACACTGGTGCCTCCCTCCTTCTTCTCCCTTCTAGACCCCAGGCTTGGACTTGGACAAATATAGGCTAAAGCAGAAGAACTCCTCCAAGATGCCTAACCTGGTCATGGCAATGGACAAAACTCTAACACCATCCTTGGAACAGGAGCAGCCTGAGGGGCTACTGTCACCCCTGGCCTCACCTCTGCATCCCTTGGAGGTACAGGGACTCATCTGTGGTCCCCGCTTCCCCTCCCTCCCTGAACACCTTGGCTCTGTTCCCAAGCAGCTGGAGTTCCAGAGACATAGCTCAGATCCTGGATTTGCAGGGAGTTAAGGCCACTGAACCCCAAGATAAAAGACACCATGAGGGGATAGAAGGTGGGTGAGGTGACAGTTAAAGGTCATGGGGGAGGCAGACAGCTCCCAAGATGGGCCTCTGAAAATCATTCTCCTAGAGTAGCTACAAACTGCTGACCAGGTGACCCAGGCTGGCATGGGTGAAGAGGCTCAGGACTTTTCCCAGCCTCCTCAGGGGCTCCATTTGGGGACAGCAAGCCTGGCAGAGGGTGACAGAGCCTCGGGTTGGAGGCAGCTTACAGGATGGAGGGGACAGTGAAGAAAGGAGAAGTCTCTGATCTATGTGAGAGCTTTGCTCTGGGCCATGTGTGATCACCAAGCTCAGCACCATCCACCACCTCATGGCCCGGCACCAAGGCCCAGGGCTGGTCAGACCCCCTGCCAAGAGCCTGCGACCTAGCTGGAGATGGAGGTGTCCTCTGTGGCGGATATGTTGGATGTTGGGGCTGAGCTCCAGCCCTCAGCCCCTCCACCCTTGATGGTTCTGTGATAACATTTGGGTCCCTTGAGGGCAGTAGAGTGTCACGCAACTAATAAAGTCTGTACATTTCACGTTGGGCCAGTTGTGTAACTTATCTCAGGGGCATCAGGTCCTTGACTATGCTGCGACCTTATCCAAGCTCTTCTCATAAGGAGCTGGGGACTCACCTCCTACCACATCCAGTGTGTTGGGGATTTGAAGGTGGCTCCTCTGGGCTTAGAAGCCCCTGGAGCCTGGGACTGTTGGCCAGGCTGGGGTGAAAGGAAGCAGAGGCTCAGGCTTGGTAGCCACAGGAAATCATGACAACAGCCAGCATTTCCATAGCATTGTGCTATGGGCACCATGCTGATTCCTCTGCAGATATTAGTTCACCTAATCTTGCAAACAGTCCCTGGGGTCAGCATTATTATCTCCACTTTAGAGTTGTGGGATCAGAAGCAGAGAGAAACTAGGAGCATGAGCAGGGCTTCTGGGGTGCTGGCATGACTCTGTTTCCTGATCTAGGTACTATTTACATGAGTGTGTTCAAGTTGTAAAAATGTGCACTTCTATGTGTAACTTATACTTCAATTAAGAAGTTGCCTCAGCCCAGGAGTTTGAGGTTGCTGTGAGCTAGGCTGATGCCATGGCACTCTAGCCTGGGCAACAGAGACTCTGTCTCAAAAAGAAAAAGAAAAGAAAAAATATATATCCCTCATACATTTTTTTAAGTTGACATCTGAAATATTTCATTGATACACTTAAATAGTTGCAAAGGATGTAATGTCGTGTTGTAAATACTGACACCTTATAAAACTATTTCATCCTTCACTTGTATTAACCCATTTCTAGCTCAGTAACAGTGATTTGAGAAGCCACCATCTTCCATTTTAAAAACACACAAAGTCCTTTTTTTAACATTGTTCCCTTTTCTCTTCTCATAATTACCATCTATTCCCTCCATAGTTTTATCCTACATGTAATTATTTTCATGCTTCAGAGTCTATTGTTGATCACGCTATCATATGTTTGCAATGCAAATATGTATATAAATTGAAATTTTATTTTTTTAATTTTTATTCTTTTAGAGACAGAGTGCTGCCCAGGCTGGAGTGCAGTGGCACGATCATAGCTCACTGCAGCCTTAAACTGGCTGAGGCAATTCTCCTGCCTCAGCCTCCCAAGTAGCTAGGACTACAGGCATGTGCCATCATGCCCGGCTAATTTTTAAAATTTTTTGTAGAGATGGGGTCTCATTATGTTGCTCAGATTGTCTCAAACTCCCGGCCTCAAGCGATTCTTGGTCCTTGGCTTCCTAAAATGCTGGGACACAGGTGTGAGCCACCATGCCTGGCCTAAAATGAAATTTTAGAAGTAATTTTTTGTAACCTTAATAAAGCTTTAAACATTATACTTATTAGTACAGTTGTTCAAAACAACATAAATATATATTCAAATTTTTACAAAACCTAAAGTTTTACTGGAAATGCATCTTATAAAAGAGGCGATATTCCTCTCAATCGGTTCCTATGTCTGTGGATGGATATCATTATTTTTTATTAGAATAAGACAAGATTCAGCAAGTTTGTTCCTATTTTTCATTCTTTCTTAAAAAGCAAGTGCAGAGGAAACTTGTTAAGTGGATAGGACTAATAGGGGGTTGTTATATATATATATATATATATGACATCGTCCCTCAATTCTTTGAATTCTGAGTGGTCTTTTAAAATCACATTTATCATTAAAAAGTATATACAGTGTTATCATCCAATAACGCAATACAAACTGCCTTCGATTTTGATGAAAGCAAAGACTTGGAAACCACTTATATAAAGATGTTGCCTGGACTCAGATCCTTCTCCGTTTTAAACTCACTGACACAGAGAAAATTTAGGGCTGGACTACCATTTGCCTTGGAATCGCAGCGGGGAAAGGACAGGATGGAAACGACAAAAACGTAAAGGCAAGCGGGTCGTGTAGGAGCCTACTGAAGAACAACTCTGGAATTAGGGAACCTTTCTAGAATCTGCAGGAAGGCGAGGAACGGCCTCACTCGAGCTGGCCTGGCCCTGAGCACATCTGTGCGTCCGAAGCCTGCCCTGGGCCACTGGGAGAGCCCCTCTCCCGCGTTAAAGGGGGCCTTAGGACCCGTGGGGCTGGAAGGTGGTTCCCGTTTGGCGAAAGCGAGGAGGCGAGGCCGCGGGACCCAGTGCCCCGAAATGCAGTAGGTCTTCCATTAAGGCAGAATTTAAACTTTACTCAACAGCTTGGAGAGGCAACTGGGAAGTCAAAGCAGGTGACAGGGAGGGTTTCACTCCCAGAGACTTGGCCGAGAACTTGGAGGCCTGATGCCCCGCACACTCCCCTCTCGGCCACCCACGCCCCCATTCACCCAAACTGTGCCGTTATCTGTCTGACTGACATCTCCGCCAGCCAATGACCTTTAGGGCTGAGAAAGCGCCTGCCCCCAGGAGTTGGGCGGGGAAAGTAGTCAGAATGACAAACATCTACACCAATAGCGAGGAGATTTCAGAAGCTACGGCCACAAAAACCAATGACAAGAAAGAACCGTTTCGAAAGGACGTGCCAGGCAGCCAACGGCCGCTGCCGCTGCGGGGGTCGCGTGGCTTCCGTTCCGAGAGGGCGGGGCGCATCCCAAACGGAAGGTGGTGGTTGTTGGTGCCGAAGCTGGTTTGAAACTGGGGGTCGGGCCTGGCCGTCGTTGTTTGTTGCTGCGGCCCCGCTTCCGGGCTAGGCCGTTCCTGCCCGCCCCCTCCCCGCCTCCCTTCGGACCCCTGAGTCCCAGGCCCGGCTCCTCGCCCGACTCGCGCCCCTCCCGCCTCAGCCTGCTGTGGACCCGGTCCGCACCATGTCCCTGCACGGCAAACGGAAGGAGATCTACAAGTATGAAGCGCCCTGGACCGTCTACGCCATGAACTGGAGTGTGCGGCCCGACAAGCGCTTTCGCTTGGCGCTGGGCAGCTTCGTGGAGGAGTACAACAACAAGGTGGGCCGGGCAGGGACTCGGAACCCAACTGGCGGGGAGCGGGCCCCGAGAGCGCCCTTTCTGGGCCGGAGCCCAGACCTCAGAACCCTCCTGCGGACTTGCCTTAGAGCCACAGAGCGGTTCCTCTGTCTGGCCCTGGGCTTAGGTTTTCCCACTTGTCTCATTTAATCTTGGCAGCATTCCTGTGTAGTTTGGAGTGTAATGGGGAAACTGAGCCACGGTTTTGTGACTTGCCTGGGTCAGACAGCTGTTGCGTGGTGGAAACAGGTTTTAAAACTGGGTTTACACCGCAGAGCTACGCCATTTATTCCTCCCGTTCCCTCCACTCCTGCCGCATTGCTTCATTTGGGGGGCGGGGGACGGAAGAGGGAGTGATGGCTGTGAAGGAAAATGCAGACTCTTGTATTGGTGGTCGTGCACTCCTGGCCACACTAGGTTTCTGCTAGAGCTATTTATTGCACAGCCTTCCCTGCCCCTTGCTCCCACTCCAAGCTAGTACTCCTGGATCCCCAGCTCTTCTGCCAGGATTGCCGTTGCTATTGCTTGCAGATATGCATCCTCTGCAAATCAATCTCTTTGGAAATCTTGGCCTGTGGCTTGTTCCCGCCATTGTTTCCAGCATAGAGAAAGATGACACTTGGCCTTATCTTCTTGGCTTCTTTCATGCTGTCTTTAACCTTTAGTAGTAAGTCTTGCTGAACATTCATCAGTTTGAGAATTCTTCATAGAAGCACTGGTAGTAGGGGGAAGCTTTTAAGTGGCATTGCAGTGTAAATTTATTTTTGAAAGTTGTTGAATAAGTAAGTAAGTGGCAATAATTTTCTTTCTTTTGTCTCTTAACGTCTTCCTTTTATTCATTTGGAGTAAAAGTTGTGAATGATAGTGATCAGAGCAACTGAAAGGTTTGGCTAGTGATATTTAAAGCCAGTACTCCTGCTTAATGCCATGAGCATCAGATTTAAGAAGAATAAAACTCTGTTCAGTGACAGGCTTGGTGCAGGGGGACAAAAGCTAGGTGGTCTAAGGTTGGGTCCTTTCTGGTCTGTTGACTAGTTGTGAGGTGTTGCATAGGCCAGTTTTGTTATTTCTGACCCGCAGTTTGCTGTAGGAAAGGGGTTCTGTTTTACATGTGAAAGTTAAAAAAAAAACAAACACAACATTTGAACATTTTAAATTTGTTTACAATTTTTCAGGAGCACATCTGTTTCTCTAGAGTAGGTCTTAATTCTTGGGATCCCCTTTGAGAAACTGATGAAAGCCATAGACTTTCATTGCCCAGACATTACACGTACACAAACAATTTACAAACAAATCCCTGGGAATATGCACTGATCTTTATGTCCACCCATTGCCTGGGCAAGACACAGCTTTATTTCCTTTTCTCTGAGCCTTCTTTCTTACTTATGGCCCATAGTGGACAGCAGAATTGGCAGTGGAATTCAAGATTCTGATGTGGACACCGTGTTAGTAAATTAAGACCACTAGAACTGTTGTTTAAGGACTTATGTGAAAATTTTTTAAAAAATAAAATGTCTTTCAAAGGGCTTGAGTCTTTTCATGAAAATTGATGTTTTTTTCTTGCAAATTTTTCCAGGGTTGTTGGGTAAACAGTAGTAGTCCCATTTCTCAGGAGAAACTGCCACAGTTAGGTTGCTGGTAGAATATCAGTGGAGTATTGGTGGCAATCCTCCATTGCAGGAAATCTATCCCAAAGTTTGTCCTTTCATTTAGCAGCTATATGGAGCTCCTTCTTCATGCCAGGCACACAGGTAATGTGGCCTTAATAGTGGAATGCAAACTGTAATCCCAGTATTAATAGAATAGCAGTTAACTATATCTTTACTCACATCATGTAGGGAATTCAGTGTCTTAAAACTACTTTTGTGCTTCTACCTATCTGTAAGTTAGGGACTTTAAATTCTGTGTGTGTATGTGCCATGGATGGACATCTTTGGTAATTTGATGCCAATAGACCCCTTATCATAATTATATTTTCAAATGCATGCAATACATAGGATTATGAAGGAACCAATTACATTGAACTATAGATATCAAGAACTTTTTAAAAAATATCTATAGTTCAATGTAATTGGTTCCTTTAAAAAGTGGTAATAAGGTTCAGGCCTTCTGGCATGTGCTTGTAGTCCCAGCTACTTCGGAGGCTGAGGCAAGAGAATCACTTAAGCCCAGAAGTTGGAGGTTGCAGTGAGCTCTGATGATGCCACTGCACTCTAGCTTGGACAACAGAATAAGACCATGTCTCAAAGAAAAAAAAAAAGGTGGTGATACAGTAATATGTACTTTAAGATTAACTCATTAAATTACACCATCCAGTGTAATTATTACCGTAATTTTGAAGTGGTGATGAGGGTAAGCAGCATTTCAAGATGTTTAACAACTGCAATATGACATGAAAAAAGTTAGTGATTTCTATTGGTAACAAAGTCACAGATATTCATTCATGCTGCAGTGGATAGCTGCCACCACATGTAATTGAAGGAAACAGTAAATTTTAGCTAGAGGTTAGTGGAAATAGGAATGTAATTTTCCAATTCAGGAAAGTTTATGGACCCAAATTAAGAAACCCTGCTATGGAAGATTGTGTGCCTAGGGGCTGGTGGGCACTAGTTCTCAGGCTAAGTTTTGGAGAAATCCTGCCATAGAGGTGGCAGACTTCATAATTTAGAGGAATTTCAAAATTATTGGTTGGGATTTTCAGACCTCTGGTTCCTGCTTGCTGTGGATAATGATTGCTAGCAGAGGACAAGATAAATTAATTCGAATTAACATTGACAAAATGGTCATCTTTTTTAGTGTGGAGACTTCAACTAAGAAAACATGATTATAATTTTCTAAACTTTGTATTAATGTAATCATGTTTTCCTGTCATAAATTGTTCCTAGTTGGTCCATGAAATTAAGTCTGTTAACATTTCAAGACCTTGACTTCCAGATGTTTCATCATGCGAATAAATTTGAGAATTGTTGCAGAGTAAAGAATCAGATTCTATCAGCTACACTTGGAATAAATAGCCCCTTTATTGGTTGTTGTGTTTTACATTCCTTTTTTTGTGGTCTCTGCAGTGGGGATACAGCAGGACTGGTGTTGGAGCAGTGGTTCTCTAAATTTTAGTGTGTAAGAATCCCTGGGGGACTTGCACATTCCTGGGCTCCATCTCTGAAGTTAACAGATACTCTGGTGATTGAGACTGGCACTTTAAATACATCACCCTGAAGTTACCTTGGCATCCACTGACCAGAGGCAGGAATGCAATATTTTTCCATCTGCATGCTCCTAAACATTGATTCTGCCCTTCCCTCCAAGTTCACCCATGAAAAAAGTCTTTAACAGATAGCCTCTTTGAGATTTCCTGCATTGAGATCTTAGTCCTGCCACTTCTCAGTTTTGTGTGGCCTCGGACAAGTTATCCTTTGTGCCTCCGTTTCCTCATCTGTAAAATGGGGGTAATAAGTAATAAGTGCACTTATCATATTGTTATAGATTAAATGAATTAATGTATGTAAAAGACTTAGGAACTCCACCTGGCATGGAGTAAGCCATGTAGAAATGTTAGCTATTATTTAATCATTATCATTACTGTACCTGTAATTAAATATAATCAAGGAGAATTATGGGTGTTGGGTAAATTTGACTTTTGTATTTTCCAGAGAGGAATCAGGACTTTTGGCCAGAAAGGTAACTTAAAAAGATCATTATATTCATTCCCTGCCATTTAAAGACCCAGAAGGGAAAATGCCCTGATCCCTTTCAACTCAATCCATTTTGTGGTCTAGCAGCTTCTTGTAGTAAGACTCCAAGTAGTATAATGTGCTAGTTTAAATCCATTTTCTCTTGTTCTACCTGGCTTACCCACAGTAACTCAGATATAGGAGGTTGACATTTCTCCTGAGTTGACAGTATCTGTGGTTTTAGGCAGGTAATATTTTTTCTGTTCTTTTATTGGGAGAAGATAGGGAGTAGGTCCTGGGTTTCTATTCCACTTAGGTGCATGTTTTGGGATTGGTTTTGAATAAAGTAGGCAGGGTGATTGGTATTTATTTTGCCCTAATATTTAACTAACCAACTCTTTGTGTTCTAATATTTAGCATCTAGAGAGCATTTTTGAGGTTCTAAGGAGAGAGACTATAGGTATATCTCATCCTTTTTGAAGAATCCTAGTAGTGAGTCTGGGTACCTTGTACTTGAAATACACATGAGATGAATGCTTGCTTTGTCAGCCTATGTTGATTCCTCTGCTATTTTTAATGCAATTACTTTATATATTTGGTACATGATTATTTCGACTCTGGCATATAATTTTTCATTTCTCAGTATTTGTGGTAGCCCTTCAGGATTCTCATTCATTTGCTCATTAATTCAACAAATATATATTGAACAGATATATTAATACATGCATCTTAGGCACAGTGATGACACTTGGAAACCTTCTGTAGTCTTTGTTAGCAGTTGTAATATTGGCAGCAATAAAGAAAACATGTTTTAGTACACATCAGTATTTTTTATATTTAGAATACTGTATTGTTGCACTAGTCCCTGGCAAGAACTATCAGCAGGGTAATTTAAGGCATAATACTCTTCTGCTTTTAACTTCCTTCTTTTTCCCAACAGTGAGAAGACTAATTCCCCCTTGGGGCCACTGGATAAAAGTGCTGCTGCTTTATCGCTTTTTGCCCTAACCTTATTCACACAGACTTATTGGAGATGCTGGGATTTGAACAAGGAATTAATCTATGCCCTGTAGGTAGTCTGATCATCTGAGGCCTTTGCTGCCAGAACTCTCTGATCAGCCTCAGAGCCAGGAGGCAAAGGGGTGCTGTTCCAGAATTCATCTTAAAGTTTGACAGGCAGGACGTCAGGTATCTGTAGGCACTGGTTCACAGTAATGGGTCAGGAAGAGGCTGGAAGGGAGGACAAGTAGAAAAGACCCCCAAAAAAGCTGCTTTATATTCTCAGAATGTTGCATTAGCTAATTTAAATAT